GGCCGTCCCGGGGGACTTGTTTTTATAGACTTTTATACGAAAAAAAGTCTTAATTTGTCAAACAACAATACCTAAAGATTAGATATTTGGCATGTAAGCTTGCCTCATAGACGTTCACGCCAGTTACTTAAGTCATTCACCTAGGATAAACTGTCCGTTAAACATTTCCAATTTGGACATATTGACGATTAAGCGACTTACAATCACATCCGTGTTATTTGTGCCGTGTGGCGGCTGTAAAAAGTCTCCCCGTACATTTAATCAAAGATGTTATATTTTCGATCCTTGAAGATCGTTCAGCACGACATTATTGTTGTGCTTGTGGTATTTTTAGTTTCAACTTTTCGGCATTTTCTAGTTGGGTGGTTCCAATATTCCTACTTGAAAAATGTTGAATCACCCTTAGGATATGTTGCCTGCTTTTTAAATTTGTCTTTTGACGTCTTATCTGTGATACGCAGGCTTCATAACCTCTGATCCCATTAAAAATTCCATTTTATTTAGTTCCGCCCATTGTTTTCTCGTTTAGGGCACACGCTTTTTATTACTTGGGGACCATACGCCGCTTTTCATGGAATGGCACGGAAGTGTCACATTGAAGGTTCCATAATAACCGCCGTATGAACACATCTGCGGATGTTTCTAAATTCAAAATTTTACTATTTCATGTTTAAATGTTGAATTCTGCTTAAGCCGGTGCTACGGGGCGTGGACGGTAACTTGCACTTTCCAGTACCGTCCATGAACAGGCTCAATCAAACCGAGCCTGCAACATTTTCAATTTTGCAGTGTTGGGCTTTCTTTATGGATTCTGTATTTATCTATTTTACAACATCTTGCCTTGTTTTTATGCGCCAGGCCAAAAAACCGCACTCCTCGTCCGTTTTAAAATTTCTATAGCATTTAATTTTGTAAATTTAAAAACAATTCCCCATCAATTGAAAAATTTTAAACAATTTCATAGTTAATAACCAAATACGAAAAAAAACCAAAATACCATGGGGAGAATATTTCAAAAAAATTTCGGGCCCATAAAGAAACCCAAAGGAAATATTTCCCAAAGCCCAAAGGAAGGGCCCGTTTAACCCAAAAAACCCTATACGAAGCCCAAACCAAAAAAACAAAAAAACAGAAATTTCCCTTAAATTGAGTTTTTTTCACTTTGGGTTTTCAGATGGGAGGGCAAACAAAAATTTCCTTTCGTCCCAAATGGAACAGTGGTTTAAAACCAAGGGATGTTGGGATTTCCCTTAAATAATTGGGTCATAGCCTCTTTTCTTTTGCATTTATTTATATATTTTATTCGAATCAAGATAAATTCATAGCATTCTCATCAATATATGTGTTTAAAGTACATTGTAGTATAATAATTAATAATTTACATAATTATGTGCGTAAATTGTATTCATTAAATCCATAAAGTCATAACATATCATAAATGTAAAACTTACAAAGCTCAACAAACTACACCTGACAGAAATACTTTACTAATTGGTCTCCATGAAGGTGATGGATGTTTCCTTTTTTGACGTGGATAACTTGACCTTTAAAGTGGTAAAATTCCATATCCCACTCCAACTCCCACTTTTTTAACTGTTTGTATTTTTGGTGGGAAAACCATCTTTTGAAACCATATTCAAGCTTGGTTCCGACTAACGTCTGGTAAGCAAGAATTTAATAGATTGTGAGTTAACCTTTATGATTCTGCGTAGTAATCCTAAGGTTTACTTTCCTGGATGGCCTGTATATGTGGGCATTCTATGTAAGGTTTTCTGATATATCCACGCCTAGGTATATAGCTAAGGTAACTGATTCTAACTAGACTCCATGAAGCAAATTTTGTTTTGGGAAGGGATGTTTCCTTTTTTGGCGTGGATGACTTGATACTTAGAGGGGTTAAATTCCATTCCAAACTCAAACTCCTGCTTTTTAACCGATTTAGATCATTTTGGAGGGCGTTTTTCACTAAACTTTAACTAAAGCGCCATCATCAAGAGCTTTTGTGCATATTGTCTTTGTTTTTTACATATATAATAAATAGAGAAATATACTTCTGTCTAAAACAGTTACTTCTCTTTGCTTTTTGAAACTACTCAAGCTTTTAGACCAGCCTATCTTGGTTAAAGAATCATACAATATTACTGTACAAATTCCACAACACTCAAAACACAGTAATATAATGTAATGAATAGATTAGATTAATAAATAAATTAATTATGAATAAAATAAGTTGGTTCTTAAGTTTATCAATTGTAATGACATGCATCTAATTAGGATTATAAGGCCATAATTCTCTCAAAATGTTGGAACTGCAAAATGCTATCTATACTGTATGCACCAGATGGCGAATCTTCTGTGATACATGAATGTTGGAAACCTGATTTCGTCGCATTGCATCTTTTCTTGTCTTTAATTAGTTTGTATAACTAAATCCTACTGTCTGATATATGCTTTCAATCAATGCTACGAACTAGCAAAAGGCAGTTTTACTTATTGTATGAGTTTGAATGAGACAGTACTGCAGTACATAAATTGTAGTGGTATTTAAGTGAAACACACTTTTCATGTCCTCCAGCACCGACTTAATTAAGCTTCATTCAACATTTATAAATGACAACATTTGGTGGAATTTGGAACTAAGAAATCTCTGCAGATGTGTTTTGAAATATGTAAACATGATTATGCATGTAGGGTTATAAATAGTCTGATTCCCGTCGTACTATAAAATTGAATAAATTTAAGAGAGAAAAGGACAGGTAATCCAGACTAGGTAATACATTTTAATTAACGAAAAACGTTCTTTTCGTTTATTTAAAATATCTCCGTGTTTCATAACCGGAAGCAGTATGCACTATGGGTATGATGCTAATGGCGGAATTTACGAAGATAACAAAAAATTGGTGAGACGATTGGCACTTTTCTCTGTCTAAAAAGCTCAAAGCTCCTATTTGATAGATTGTAACAACAGTAAAAAATATTTTTCACTATATGCAATTGATAATTCTTCGCTGTTTGGAAAAAGAATTGAAGAAAAAAGATAATATTCAACTTGTTTTGTATGCTGGGATAGTTTGACAAGTTTTGACATGATCGCTGTAAAACACGTTTCGTATTCTATGCCTGTTTACATGTTACAGTTGGGAAAAAAACTCGTTTTTTGTGGTATGTTTACTTGATCCAAATCATGTGAAAACGAAAGTGACATTGTATAAATTAATACTATTTACGAAATCTAATTTGCTTGATTTAGAATAAAAAAATTTATCTTGAAAGTAGGCACATCATATGGACGGAAAGTCTAAATAATAGGTGTCTGAACTTTACACCTCATGGAAGTTTTGACCTGAGTTTTTACACCTTCTGGACGTATCGGCCTTAGTCTTTTCACCTTTTTTTGTTTTAAAGGTGTCATTCGGTTGTTTTATGTAGCATAGCATTCTGTTATCATTTGGAACACCTCAACCACTATTCTTACGCTGAAAAGTTGTATTATGGGGAAGCCAAACTTTGCAAAGAATGGGTCCGCTCTGCACTTGTATATTTAAAAAGAAATCAAATTAAAAACAAAATATACATAGATTTCTCTACCTATCTGTAAAATTTTCAGTGTCGTATCAAGTTGGGCTCTACCATTTTCGATGTAACTCATTGAAAATAGGCAGGATATTCTGTTAACAGAACAGTCGTAAGTTTTTGAATTAATAATCTTTGAGGTGTTCCAAAAGAAAACGGAAGCAGTACACGAAATAACCTATGAAACCTTTACAAAATGAAAAATGGACTGTGAGTGTGATATGAATGGGTTCAATGAATGATGTCAGCGTCCAACTAAGGATTTGTCTCAATCTGGTTGACATATTTTATCATTGAATAAAGTGTTTTCAGTTTATCATCATATACATGATTGTGTAATCTAACAGTAACAGCAGGCAATTTTGTCTATGAAACTAAGTGCTAAGTGATTATTTTATTTCATGCTTTCCAGTGTTTTATTGTAATATAACAGATGATTATATTCTGATAAACCACTAGTGAAATTTATAAAATATAATTTTCACTGTAGCCGGACCTTATCTGAATGCTGATGAAAAGAAAATCAAACTAAATGGAATAACAGGCAGAGAAAAAAATGCCGTTATACGTAAATTTTGCTTCTTGAGGAAAATAAAGTCGATGTCACCATACATCATGTTAAAAATGAAACAAAATTAGAGAAATTTAACAGAACTATATTTCAAAATTGATGATGTGATGTCATGATGTGATGACATCACAAAGGAGAATGGGCGACATTACGCGGCAAAATCAGTAAAAAATACTTAAAATCACATAGAAAGCATGAAATAAAAAGAAAATTTACTTGTTTTACATATAAGATTGAAATGTATTTCATTTGTGAACACCAGCTATTATATTTTCACTCATGGCTACGCCACTCGTGAAAATATTGCATAGATCTGGTGTTCACTCAGTGAAATTATATTTCAATCTTACATGCAAAACAAACAAATATCGTCTATATAATCACAAAAAACAATCTTAACAAAAATCAACAGGCAGTAATATAAACAATTTAATTCATTATTGTATGCGCATTATGTGTTTTCCTGAAATCACAAAAAGTATTCTGAAAATCAAATAGAAAAAATAATGCAGTGTGGCGGACTGGTCAAGACTAGTGGTATAAGGATTGCTGGCCAAGTGGGCTCAAACCTTTCAGGGTCAAGCCATTGTTTCTTTGAGCAAGAAACTTTATACACATTGCTAAGTATAGGTTAGTTCCAGGTTAGGATTCGAAAATGTTTCAATAAGCTTACAGCTTCCAACACAAACTTAAATGAATTTGAATAAACTAAATTATATAGAAAAGTAACACTGGATAAATCGAATAACCTGTCTTCTGATATTGATAATTTGATATATATATTATATAGTACTGACAAGCTTGTACTGAATTTATAGTAAAAACTAAATACTGTTATTTTTCTATTTTCAGATTTCATTTTGTTAGAATTTCAATATAAAACTGCAGAATTGGATAAAAAGAATTGTAGGTTCCTAGTCTAGTACAGACTTATTGAAGACTGTTACAGAAAACTAGGAACTAGGCAGTGCTACAACAATTTGAGAGGTGTACAATTTGCAATATCTGGAAAAGAGGTGCTAGAGTACAAATTGTATATAGACACAAAAATTATGTAAAAAGAGATGATTTATTTTGGTAAATGTGTGTAAAGAGTGCTGATAAATCGATACGAATGTAATTAGTGTGAGTCAAGGTGTGAGTATTTGTATAGTTAGTGATATACATTACAAATCAATATATTATATAGTTTGGGTGTAAATTTTGGACAGTCCTCCTAACATAATACTACATTGTATAGTGCAGTGAGCTGTGTATGGATTTGGCGTAAATCGGTGCCATTGACATAGTGTACATGTAAATCTAGTGGTAATCATTCACCATGTGTAGATTTAGAGTGGATCTCTGACTGACTGCGGGTACTTGTGGACAATGAGCAACGTAAGCCTAGGGGGTAATACCGGGTCCAGTATAAATTTCGATGCTGCAGCGTTACAGACACAACAAGAGGACGAATATAGAAAGGAGGAGGAGCAACAGCAGAATGAGGTAAACTGTTTTCAATGTTACCCCCCCCCCCCCCCCCCAAAAAAAAAAACAAACAAAACAAAAAAAACAAACAACTAAAACCAACAATTTGTTACAAAAAAACAACAAATGTTCTCAAACCCCCCCCCCCCCCCCCTCCACCAGTTTTTTTTGGGTGTGTGTTTTTTTTCAGGCAGAGTGAGACCCAAATTTGGTCTCATAAAAGGCCTTTAATAAATACCACTGGAGGGAGAAATAAAAAATTGAACAATTAAGTATTAAGCATGTTGAATGAAAAATCTCACCTCATTCATGAATTTCATTCAATCCTTTACGTTTTTCTGACATCCTTAAGTATTAAACAAATACAATAAATTTAAAGCATTATAAAAAGCGATACTTTCAAACAAATCTGTATTTTTCTATATATCTTTTTTATTGGAGAAGAGTGTTAAATATTTAAACACCATTTGAACACAGGAATTTGACAGCTTATTTGTTTTACCTGTTTTTGAATTGGAATTTAGAAATTCTGTTTGAAGCTATTTAAGTTTCTTTCAAATTCTGCTTGCTTGGCCACCTGTGAGTTAACCATTATTTGTTTTCAGTCTGTTCAGATACTCTTATATGTGGCCTCTAATTTTATAAATGCAAATAATTACAAAAAAAATCATGCTTCACTAATAAAGTTCAAGATTAAGAGAAACTTGTAAGTTGAAACATTTAGTGAAATACTATTTCGTACAGTCAACAGTGGTTTACTTCGGAAGTTAAACAACTTTGACAAAAAGACTTTACATGAAAAAGTGCTATAAGTTGCATGTTTGTTTTTTTTATTTTTTTTATTTTACTCAATTGTGTTTTTATTTGGATTTTTTTTTTAATGGGGTGGGGTGGAAGTGGGGGGTAGGGATTTGTGAGTTGAGGGTAGAGAAGTGGGTTTGTGTGTAAAGTCTAAAGAGACCTGAATGAATTTCAGAAGGATTTACTTTTAGCTAATTCTTTAATAAGAAAGGACAGCAAGATATCAGGATTTCTATGTGTAAAGTGGGTGTCACTGCTTTATATCAAAGGATAGTTTTAATTGACTGTCAAATGGTTTGTTACCATGGCAATGACCAACTTTGAGTACCATTTGCTGTTTTACAGAATTACTCATCGAATAGCAGAGGATGAGAAAAAGGTTGTTTTTATAATACATGTTGTTTTTTGTGTACTGAAAGTGCAAGTGGATCATATTATTTCACGATTTTGGGAACAAAACCCATACCCATGGAATTGGGAATTTCAGCGATGTTTTGTTTAAATTGGGGAAAAAAGCCTGACTTAAATTTTGCATTGTACAGTGATAAAAAAATGTGAACAATCACTGTGTCGGATCCTCAAACATTTAAGCACTCTTACAACATTGAAAAAGAACCTATTTTTAAGTATTTTAGATTTTTTTTATTAAATACTTTCAATTGGAAATTTTTACCTGTAATTAAAGCACTTTTTTTTCAAAATTAATTATTTTTAGAATTTTTTATTCAATAATTTAAATTTTGGAATTTTTCCCTGTAGATACTAGATAAGGAAAAAATATAATATGAGCCGCGTCACAACAAAACCAACATAATGGGTTTGCGACCAGCATGGATCCAGACCAGCCTGCGCATGTTATAGGGTTTGTAAAAATCCCTGTATATTAGATCCATTATTGCCTAAAAGAATTTTTTTACTTGCCTTCATGGTCAAGGGGTTAGAGTCGATGACTTCTAATCCAGTTACCTATCTGGCGTGGGTTTGATCCCCAGGATATGCTTTGGTTGAGAAAAGGCGTAAAATAAAACAAACAAACAAACTCTCCAAGGCTTTCAGTGCCGGTTAAACTCAAAATCTAATTCACATGAAATTGTATACATTGTATATTTATTAAATGTTGTCGTTGAAAAAAAAACAAAATGAGGCAAAAAATATATACTGCAGGTTACTGGTAGTGGACTAGTGGTGTACTATATGCCTCTTCATTGTACCAAAAATTTTGACCAGGAAAAAAAACGTTGGTTTGTAAATTTATATTTTTGAGTCTACATTATATAGAACTACATTTAGTTTACTAACATTTCATTATTTATTTTTCAGTTGCGTGCATTACTGACGAATGCATTTGATGACTTAATCGACGATGATGATATACTTTCCATTACCTCGGACGACGGTACAGACTCGCGGAATGTCAGTCTGGTCCGTCGCCATAGCAACGATAGTCTCAGTAGAATGGTACCGGAGGAAAACAAGTGAGTGTACAAATGTACCTATAAACGTTAACAATTGATTTCCATTTTAAGGGGTTTTTTTTCGTTCTATACCAGGGACACAAGGCGTTATAAGGCTGCTTCCCCAAAGAAAATTACTTTAAATTCATGCAGTTTTCCCGAAAAATTGAACTTTGAATTGAAAGTTATTTTATTTTTGCAAATATACTGTGTAATTTTCCCCCAAAATTAAGGTCAGGGCTGCGTCTCCAACCTGTGAAAAAAGCCCTGATTTTTATCTTTTCTTATTTTTTATTATTAAAAAGTTAGAGATTATAACTACTGCATCATCGTTGTTGTCCTTGCCATGCAAAATCTTTAATGTAGCCCATTATTCAAACGTTGTAGAAGTTAACAATATGAAAGCTAATTATAAAAAATTACAGTTGTTGGATAAGGGGAATAATTCTGTAAGCTATGATTTTGTGCCCCTTTTAAAAAAATTGATTATTGATAGCCGTTGTCCTTAAATATCCAAGTGTTAACACTACTGCATGCAGTGCTCTTATTAAAGGAGATCCACTGAGGTCAAAAAGCTTTGAAATTCTTACAAAGATTAAACGAAATGGAATAATCAACATAGGATAATAAACATGCTTCGAGTTAAATTTAAAAATCATTTTTTTTTTTTTTTTTTTGTTCAGTTCTTATCCTGGGGTGGGGGAATGATTAAAAACTTGTACACAAGTTGATTGATTCCTACCTCTTAAATTTGGTTCATGAATACTGGAAAAATATTGCCAGACCTGATATTAGGACAAAAAACTTCACTGGAGTCCCTTTAAGAAAAATTGTACATAAATGAAATTAATTTCTAAAAATATTTGATTTTTCACATTCCCATTTTTATCCCATTATTGATACACAGTTTTTGTATAAATCACTGTTGGATCAAATCTTGTCGGAGACATATTTAGCTGTTTTATAGACATAAAATTTTTTGTTTCACACAAGTGCTTACTCATGGCTGAAATAATGCTAATATAGGTTACCAGAGACATTTTTCTACTGAGTAAAGCTTGAATGCTGCCACTTTATCTTTATAATCAAGATTTGAGCCACGACATGACAAAACCAACATAATGGGTTTGCGACCAGCATGGATCCAGATCAGCCTGCGCATCCGCGCAGTCTGATCAGGATCCATGCTGTTCGCTATCAGTTTCTCTACTTGTTATAGGGTTTGTAAGCGAACAGCATGGATCCTGATCAGACTGCGCTGATGCGCAGGCTGGTCTGGATCCATGCTGGTAGCAAACGCACTATGTTGGTTTTGTCGTGACGCGGCTCATTTATTTTTTTCTCTTAAAATTTCAGACTGGCAGAGCAACCTGAGGAAGAGGCCAACTGGAGAAAATTTCCCCAGGGGGCGCCAGGTGCTGGCGCCCTATTCAGACAGTTACCACAGTCTCGATACGCTCAGATGGAACCATTGTCACGTACACAAGAACTGCCTCGAGGCCAGTTTGACCTAGTGCGGGCCAGTGTGGAAAGCCTGCCTAATTTTCCTACAAATCAAAATGGACTAGACCAGGATATTAATAGTAATCCAAGTTTGCGAAGCAGTCGAGATCATCTTGATAGTGATTACCATAGCAACGCAGAAGACAATCAAAATGCCGATTTCCATGGCAATGTTTATCCCATACCATTAGCTCAAGGTCATCATGGGGCCGCTCAAGGTCATTGTTCGAAACCTGTTTTAACGGAAGATCATCAGGCACATCATCATAGTAATCAAGTTGAAAGAGACAACATTCTGCGTCAAAGCATCGAAGATTTTTCCAAATTTAAAGAGGCATACCAGTCTCAGGAACATTTGTTTACCCATCATGCACCAGTGGGTCATGATTCAAACATTCAAGGTCATCAACATTATCATGCAGCAGAACATCCGTACGATCAAGGTCATGGAGGTCAAGGCCATTACTACCATCATGATCAAGGTCAACCAGTTTATCACCATGGTTACGAGGGTCATCATCATTTTCAGAACATTTATCAAGATAGGCCTTATCATACCATAGGGGAGCGTGAAGAAGCTGAAGGCGGAAACGCTCACCAGGGGGAGGACATGCACTATTATCAGCATGGCTACACTGGGGGTCATATTGATCATGGTTTTCATGGTAACCAAATGCTGCCCCAGGGTCAAGGTCATGAGTATAATTTGCAGGCAACTAGTCAAGATCATGGTTTTCATTCTCACAATACCGATAAAAATGAACATTATAAAAATCAGCATTCGAAATCTGTAAATACCAGCGGGCATTCAAGTTCCAGTAGTGGAAGAAAATTACCCCAAGTGACTTACAGGTTCCAAAGTACCTCTAATGAAGCTCAAGATAAGCAAAGAGGAGAAATGTCAAGAAATAGAGAAAAAGAACCAATTCCTCAGAAGGAAAAGACCGAGGCATATGTTGATAACTACAAAGTGAGATATGAAAAAGAACACGAGAGAAAGAGAGAAGAAATCAGCCAGAGGGAAAAAGAAGGGAAAAAAGCAGAGAAAAATATGGATGCAGAATTTATGGGGCAAGGTAAGGCCATGAGTTTCACACTTTTAAATTACTTATATGATGTGCATAGTCAATGTCATAATTTTTTCACATCAATAATTTCATGGTAAGGCCAACATTTTTTTATAAAATGTTTTACGGGACCGCCAACCGTATTTTTAGAGAAAATCAAATAAAAATAAAAGTTCATTTAAGAACTTTTTATTTTCATTTTGTCCGCCGACCTCTCTTACCCACTTCTGTCAAAATTAAAAGTTACTCGGTAGAATCTATGGTAAACGTTTTTCACTTCAATTGTTAACGATACTTAACTGTAGAATCTTGGTAAAGCAAAGGAACTTGCTTAAAACAAATGAAAAGTTAATCCCTTTGATGTTTACAAGAATGTTACAAAAGGCGTAACAAAATGGAAGGGCAATAACTTAACAAGCTTGTAATAAATTAGCCCGTGTGAATATCACGGGACACCGGGTCATGAAAGTTCGCGACACTGGGTCTCGCTTTTGTAAACTTGTTTTCAATATAACTATGGCAATTTGAGTAATAAATATTAGAGCAGTTTATCACACATGATAGCCTGCAAAGCTGTTAGAAAGCACGACTGGGAAGTAACATCCATTGCATGAGTTGATTTGAATCATTTTCACTTTCAGAACAGTTGTAAAAAATTAAATGGGCACGGGATCAAAGCCGTTGATTGACTAAGGTGTCAGAATGAAATATTTACTCGATTTACCACGGAACATGAGAAAACTTTGACACATTAAAATTTAGACCCATGTATAGGTTTTTATAAAAAATATAAGGGGAAAATCTGGACTTGCATTTTACTTTGACATATCGAGAAAATTGAGTAATCGAAATTCAACTCATACGAGTTCTACTTACATTGTAGAATCTAAGATTTATTGTTAGTAAATTGATAATAAAAAATCTTTATTAAAAATCTTTGAAAACAATTGATTAATTTATAATACCAAAATAATAAATTCCTGAAAGTCCTTTGGTGGACAGATTTTTGTTGTTGTCTTGTTGAAATACAAGGCTTCTTTATAATTGAACACAGTCATTTATAGCATTTATTAAGTTTACATTATATCATGACCAGTAGACTAAAGTTATGTGTTTTTTAAGAAGTTTTTTACTAGATCAATATTGAGAAAATTGGCCTTTTTTTCAATGTAAGATTATGAGCATAAGTCCTCTTTGACATTTCTGTAAAAGATTGTCTGTAATAAATTCTCTGCAGAAAACCCTGATTTTGTAACAATGTATGCCATTTGATTTTCTATTTACTGTCAATGACTTTCATTTTACTAATCATTTGAAATATGAATAATTTTCAGAAATTGCAAATTTTTTGCGCATACAGAACTTACTCTCTTAAAGATGATTTGAAGTTGTTGATTTAATTTACCTTGTGAAACTGAGATTGTACAATATTATGTTTGTACCTCTGTAAATGGTTAAGGTTTCTGATCTCAAATCACTCTCCCTGTGTGATGTTGTGGATTAGAATCCTGTCAGGAACTTAATTTGGATTCCCATGAGGAAACTATCAGTAAGCTTATAATAGGTTTGTTGTTCTATCACTATAATCAGGTTGCAAGCTTGTGTCAGTATTGTAAAGCTTGAGAGTGGCAATACAACCTTGTTTGGATACTCTTGAAATGAAGGGACTAAACAATGAATTTGGAGTTGTGTGGCATGTCTGCCCTAAATGCAAAAAGACAAACTAATACAAATTCTAGATCAGCAGTAATAGTTACATAAAACAAAAGCAAAAGTGACTTAAAACATTTTTTTCAATTATTTTGTTAAAAATCATGTCAAAAATATTTCAAAACTATAAAATCATTGATTTCATGATTAAAAAATCTGTTTTTGGAGTGTTAAAAAATATGTTTGAAAATAAAAAAATTTCACCTCATTTGTCATTTTATTTTTATTTTGTGGTCGACTGATAAGAAAATTGAATTTTATTTTTATTTTTATTTATCCCCCCCCCCCCGACCCAATTTTTTATAAAAATGTCCCGTAAAACATTTAATAAAAAAATGTTGGCCTAATGGTTTATTTATGACATTGGTCAAAATTGACGTATTTTCGATGTAGATCTAAACAACTAAGCCTTTTTTTTTTTTTAATCTTTAGATTTTTAAGTTAAGCAGAGCAACTTTTTACTCATAAAATAAGTCTTGATACTCTGTTAGAACAATCATTTTCAAAATTGATGAAAACAAAATATTTTTGTATTTCATTTATATTTTCATAAATATACACGTATATATATATATAAATTTCTTTATTGTTTCATAGCTGGAAATGGGGAGAACCAACAACTGGCACAGCTTCAGATATTGTATAAAGCACGAGGGAGGAAAATAGAAGAGCTAACTAATGAGATAGAAGTTGTCAAAAGTGAATCTGGGAGAGAACTGAGAATTCTGAAACATCAACTTTCCGTGGCAAAAGGTAAACCTGAAATTTTATGATTTTTAATACTTAAAGCATTTTCATACTGTTCTTGTCTTAAGGTAGTCTTACTGCAATGCTTTCCGCCAAAAAAATCTAACATCTGCCAATATCGTAGCAAATTGGTTATTTTCTGAACGTTATTTTTTTCAAAATCTTGAGCAATCACTCATCCTTTATCGCTATGTACTAAGTTCCAGTTATGAACGGTTAAAAAATTTGAGTAGTGAAGATTGTGAAAAAATAATGTTCCGGAAATGACCGATTTATTATGATACTGGCCGATGTAAGACATTTTTTGGCGGGAAAGCATTGCAGTAAGTCCACCTTAAGTTTGTCTGTTCGCTTCTTGGTGGAGGTTAGTCTTTTCGGACAATTTTGGCATTATTTAAGGTATGGGTCCTCATTGAGAAGACGTGCAGAAACAGTTTTCCAGTGAGTCATACCTGCAGCATGCCTCCAGATTAAAAAAAAAATTCGTGAAAATTTTGAAAATGTATTTAGAATTAAAATAGTGTGCTGCGAACAAGTAAAGTAATTTACACATTGCATAAATTGCCAAGAAGAGGTCAAAATATGTTAGATTAGCAGTTAGTTATAAGTGCGTTAGTTACACAGTAGAAATATTATGATAAATAGAGAAAAATCAGTCATTAATGGCACATAACATGTAAGTTATAACTTGAATCATGAATCTTGAATCTTTTTACTTTTCCTTAAATGTTTACATTGTGTTAACTCTTTACAGAATGTATATTGTACATGTATATTCACATGAAAAAAAAACAACAAATCAGTGCTACAGATAAGCAGCGTATCTGCGTAATTACCCAATAATTTTGACCAATTTACCCAAATAAAATAAAATCTTTGCGTAATAAAAACGCAAATCAAAATATCAGTACCCAATTTGTTTTGATACTCTAGCGTATTTTCAATATCTTGGACCATAATTCACCTAGCAAAAACTGCCAAACAAATCCGAAAATAGCCTGTTTCCCATTGTATACACACCGGTCTCAAATATCGACAGTCAGTAAGACCGGTGTACACAATGGCCTGTTTCCCTTTCTGTACTTTCGTTTTCCATTTGTTAACCGGGAACAATTGAGTAGACTGGTTTAAAGATATTTTTTCGCGGAAAAGCTTTATATACTTATGAGAGATAACTAAATAGCAGTCCAGACTGAGGTTTATTTACTTTCTGCTTCAACAAAATGGCGAAACGGGGCTGATAAAAATTAATTATTTCAATGCAGTCTAACAAAATATTTGGTTATTTTACCGAGCCAGATGTTGTAAAAAATTTGTTAAATGAACTTTTTAGACAATGTTTGTTTACAGTCTTTGTGTATATTGTTTCCGAGATCCTGGACAATATTTTGACCGATGCAAATCTATGCAAACCAATAAATTTTTCAATGATACCCAATTTTGTTTCTGTGTTACCCAATTGCTTGTCAAGTCCAGGGGTAAATACCCAATTAACTCAAAAGCTTATCTGCAGCTCTGAACAAATTGTTAATTATTTTTCTGGGAAAGGTTTTTTTTAACATACAATTTATATTTTGGAGAAAAAAAGTTAAAGAATGTTTTCACTACTGTTAAGTATAACAAAAGGATTATGGATAAATGCGTACAAGTTATTTTAATCAGGATTTAGAGATTATAGCCAGCTCAGTAAATTATTTGTATAAGGGATTAAGGATAAAGTATACCACACCAAAAAATGTCAGGTCAACCTGCTTTAGTTGACATTATTTAAATCAAGGAATAGACAGACTTTCAAGAAATGTTGGGTCCATATTAGATTTTAACATTAAGGAATAGGCAGACTTTCAGGAAATGTTGGGTCCTTATTAGATTTTAACATTAAGGAATAGGCAGACTTTCAAGAAATGTTGGGTCCATATTAGATTTTAACATTAAGGAATAGGCAGACTTTCAGGAAATGTTGGGTCAACCTGTTTTATTTGACATTACATTTAGGAATAGGCGGACTTGCAGGAAATGTCAATCAACCTGATTTTAATAGAACTTGTCAAACACTTTCTAAAATTCTTGTTTGGTTACATTAAGCCATGTACGAGTTCCTTCATAATAAATAGTTGCTCTCCTTATTTTATGGACATTAAGGAATAGTCAGACCTCAGGGGCTGTTATTCAGGGCATTTTATCCATTTACTGCAGGGGCTGTTCATTCAGGTTATTTTATCCATCTACTACAGGGGCTGTTGCATATTCAGGGCATTTTATCCATTTTCTACAGGGGCTGTTCACCATTTTTGTTCCATTAGGAAAATTCATAAAAAAATCATGCAGTTTTCTCCAAATAATCAATTTAGGCCAATTTTTTTTTATATTTTGGTTTACTGATTTTTTCCAAAAAAAGGTAGGGTCGGCGGCGGGAAAAAAAGAAAAGAAAAGGTTTTCATAACTATAAATGTGTTGCATACATAAACATAGTACTCACTAGAGCAATGATTATGAAATTAAATACATCGCTGATTGTCTATTCCAAAGATTGTCTAAATACACAAAAAAAAACTTTTGCTCGCATTGTTTAAAAACACACATGAAATCTACATACGATGACTTATGACAAGTGGCAAGCCAGCCCTTCAAAAGAATCTGTCATTCTTTGATGTTTACACACTGCTGTGTAATCTGAATCATCCAAGGTGCCGAAACTCAGCTGACTTGCACTCATTTCTTTATAGATCAGAAGTTAAAAAAAAACTGTCAAGAAAAGATTACACATGTACAATTATTGCTCATTGTGAAAATATTTTTATCGGATAATTAGCGGGTCAATTTTTGACATAAAAATCTACAAATAGTAAGTGCATTTTTTTATTTTGTTTGAAAACCTGTATTCAATCTGCTTTTAAAGACTAATTATTTTTTGTTAAATCTGAAAATACTGATCTTGTCAATTGCAGCAGATTTCTCTCGCTCTGCCCTTGAATGTAATTGCTTACGTAATTTGGCGTGTTTTTTTTTTTGTTTGTTTTTGTAGTTGTTTTTTTTTTTACATTTTTACGCATTTGGACCTTAAATGCATGGATGAAATATGATCAAAGCTGTGAGAATGGCTTGACCCATTTATCATAATACACCAATAAACACTTTCCCCAACTAGCAGACGGCAGGCCATTCTTGAGTAAAGATAACCGGTTGCGTATCTCACTGTATAAATCGTATGTAAAATAGTCTGGCATATGGTAGGTTTAACAGTTAATTTAAAGACTTACCGTGACGTTTCTTTGACAAGTCGTATTATTGGCGGCGTATTTCAAGACAACACTGAATTTTTTTGGGGGCTGATTTTTTTTTTTTTCATTTTCCCAAAATACAGAGTCGGCGGGTCAGTAAACCGAAATATCAAAAAATAATGGCCTTACATCAATTTTGTTTTGTTCTTTTGCAAAGATGTCACATTATTTTCATCCAAATTAAAGGGAAGGGCCCTTTACTCTCTTACATGTACGTGGGGAAAATGCTCTGTTTAAATCCATGTTTCACAATTTAGCTTAAGATATATACATTCAAATTAAATCTGTCATACTTATCCCCACCATTATCAACTTCTAATCCTTTTCTTTGTTGTCATAATGACAAATATGTGGTCATAAAAAATCTAATCTTTGACATTTGAAATACTTCATCGAAATCATCAAAAGGTTGATTAACAATCTCTGAATTTTTAGGGCAGCTTCTCAGATTACCTGGTTATTGTGTGTCATTCAATATGTTTTGATCCAAACGATCAGTGTAAGATGAATATCTATTGATGTTTAAGAGATCTCCTCAAGTTACCTTAGTACCTTTGTGTTGAAAATATTCCAAATTTGTGCCCGGCTTTATGCATTTATTTTTATTGTTTAAAAGATCTACCTCTGTTTTGAATTGGCTTTTTATTTTACAGGCCCATTATATATGACCTAAAAATTGTGCTTTATTTTTATTTCTCAAAAACTTTATTTTAGGTGTGATATTATGATTTAAAGTTTCCAAAAAGCTACTCTGTGGCCATTTACCTGCACTAAAAAGTAAAAACCATATATACTGTATAAGAGGATATTAATGCGTCACAAAAATTTTTGCGAATGTCAAAAAGTAGACTTTTTGTGTGAGGAAATATTTGTGAAAAAATATGATTTCTTGAATTTAATTCTGTTTTTTGTGATATCATAGTACGCAGGTACATGTTAAGAATATGCCTTTATTGTAATCGTTCAATTCAGTTGTTTAATACTTTTATTATTTATATAGGTGTTTGAAATAAACATTGTTAGTTTGATAAATACCCGAAGTGGAGTATGGGGGCACAGGTGTCATATGGACACATTTCTAGTTCTATTTTAATTATTTTGATTAAATAAAACATTTTTTAAATCTTCATTGTTTCAAAGCTTGAAAATTTAATGGGGAGAATCAACAGCTGACACAGCTTCAGATTTTGTATAAAGCACGAGGGAGGAAAATAGAAGAGCCTTTTAATGAGATTATGCTTCATTTATTAAGTTGTCTACTTTTTTTTTAAGGGGAGAAAGAAGGTTCTTCGAAGAGTCTGGATAACGTGCAGTCGTTGTACCAAGAGGCAAAGAACGAGAACGCTCAGTTGGTAGGCCGCGTACATGCATGCGAGTCGCAGATCGAAGGTCTGAAGAAAGGCAAGGAAGAGGTAGATCTATTATGTTCATGTTTTTTTCCCCACAAATTAGATAATGACAAATGTTTAGAGTACTTACTATTTTTTATCTCTTGAATGTTTCTAATATATTTCGTTACCATATGAAAATAAATCCTGTATTGATAGAAGAAACTTAAATAAATATCCTCTATGTAGTGAGAAAAGGATTTAAAAAGGTATTTAGTAGAAACTCCAAAAAACCGAATCTCAACACCTGACCGGAATTATCATAAAACCAAACATTTCACAGGGTCCTTATTTTTTCTCTCCCTTTTTTTTTAATGTTTAGAAATCCTCACAAAACCAGAAACTAGCTATTCCGAATACTGGCCAAAAAATTATACCAACTTTTGTGTTTTACAGTTGATCAAGAAACTTCAGACAGCCGAGTCCACGATAGAAACATTACATCAACATTTAGAGGAGCTTGGGTCATCGGACACGCTGACGAGGGCCCGTCACGATCACGAGGCCGTTGTTGGAGGGCTGCAAAAGAAATACGAGACTGAAATTAAACATTTGCAGGAAAATAATGAAAAACTGAAACAAACGATTCATGAAAAGGTAAAGTCATGGATTTCATCATTGACCTTGTAACATCAATAAGATTGGCATATATTATACATTTTTTGAATTTAAACTTATTTCTTTTCTGATCAGCTATGAATTGGCATAAAGCTACTGTATACTATAAGTGGTTAAGTTAGCGACGTGGAAATATTTGCGAATTTCACAAATATATGAAAATCGATAAAATTCCCTCTGGTGTTAATATCAACCAACCTATCATTTAGTTACTTCCCTTTCACAATTTGCTAATATTTTCACTAGCACAATGTTGGGAATTTTAAATTTGCCTACTTTTAGACACACGGAAATATCAACTTGTACAGTATACTACGGCTTTGAATTTTCAGTTAATTTGAGACTTTTCTATGTGAACCTTGAACCACAATGAATTTTTCATTACGGGTCTTATACTATTCTAAATTTGTACATAATTTGAGCCGTGTCACGACAAAACCAATATAGTGGGTTTGCGACCTCTGAGCAGTCTGATCCATGCTGTTCGCTATCAGTTTCTTTACTTGTAATAGGGTTTGTAAGCAAACAGCATGGATCCTGATCAGACTGCGCGGATGCGCAGGCTGGTCTGGATCCATGCTGGTCGCAAACGCATTACATTGGTTTTGTTGTGACACGTCTCATTTCATCTCAGGACCTCTGCCATCACTGAATTATGCAACCTTTTTTATTTATCTTTTTAATTTTGAACAAATTTATTATTAACCCTCTACCTTTCAGCCTTAATTTTCTTTTCTCACTAATTCTTTCTTGTACTATCTTGGTTAACAAGTATTAAGTTATGAATCTGCTGCAAAAATTATCACGTATTTAAAGAAGAATACTCCCAGAATGCTTGTATTGTAGAAAGGAGGCAGTAAATTGCATTAAAAATGAAAGGCACATGCACAAAATCATTGCTGATCGGATAAATCCTAAATACCAAAAAATTTTAATCTGGAACATTTTATTCTGCTTATGTACATTATTCATGCGTGTCAAGAAACAGAGATATTCTATGTTACTATTCTTTCAAGAATCAACCTTTAAGTATTAAGAACACAATGTAATTCTGATGATGATAAATTTTATAAAATATGTTATGTTTCTCCTAAGATATAGCTTTAATAACTTTATACCCTTCAATTTAATGATTTCCAATTACATAGAATGACGAGATTACCATATTAAAGCAGAAGTTAACGGACAGTATCAAGGCATCAGAAACTGCCCAGATATCTCGCGCAGAGACCATCAACCGTTTAACCCAGAGTTTGGAAGAGAGTCAAAAACGATGCAGAAACCTCCTGGAAGCATGTAAGTGGTTTACTGCAGCTTTATCCTTTACCGCCTCGAAGCATGTAAGTGGTTTACTGCAGTTTTATCTTTTATCTACTGAATGGTTTACTTCAGTTAAATCCTTTACCTCCTCGATGTAAGTGGTTTACTGCAGCTTTAATCCTTTACCTCTCCGCGAAGGCTGTTTGTTTATTGCAGTTTAATTCCCAACCTGCGGGAAATAGAAAGTGATCAGCCTTTGCCACCAGTATAGAGTCAGGCCATGACCTGCAAATCTGTACAGTCTGACCAGGCTCTAGATTGTTAGAACCACAAGCTTTGTATTTTGAAAATTGTAATCCCTTTAAACTTCAAATGAGTTGTTTTCAATTCAAAGTACGACAAAACCGTCAAAGAAATAAATAGACTGAGAGATAAAAATTAAGAAGAAAAATGTGTTTTCAAATTTTTGGTTTTTTGAAAGGTAAAGGTTTATATGATTGAACCCACCTGTTTTACATTAAGACTAGTATTTGGTTCAGTTTAGGATTATTTCTGGGTTTTAGATTAATAAGGCTCCTAGGTAACATTTTAATAATTTTTTTCAGCGTCCTCGCAGGAAATGAGTCAAATGAAAATTCACTTACAGCAGGCCTTGGCGTCTCGATCAATCTCTGATGAAATGTGCTCTAGTCTACAGGTAAGGCCCCCATCAAGTTTCAATTTTTTTATTTGAAATTTCTCATTGTGACCTGTTAAGTGCTGATCCTAGACTCTTGAGGGTTTTTTTTTTTTTTTTTTTTTGCCTTCCAGCTGTTTTACAAAATCTTTACTTTGAAAATTATGTGCATTTTTGGCCTTTTGTAATGCACCTGGGGCCATCATCTACCAGTAAAGCTAGAAAGCCACCATTCAAGCTTTCTTTGTCTAGCTGCTCACATTGAATATTTTTAGTGCGTTTAGTGAAAATTTTTGCGTATTTTCATCCAACATTTTGATTTTAAGTTACATTAAATAAATTTCATAAAAAACTAAATAGCGACATTTCATTAATAAACTGGGTTTTATATCGACTCCAGGTCTTATTTTGGTGTCCAAACAACCAAAATGAGTTTTATTAGCATAAAAATAGGTAACCTCATTGTGGCGAAATGGGAAATACAATTTCTGTCTGCATGAGAAACTCCGCCTTCGGATCATCCGTACATCAATATTAAATCAACAATCATGACTATAAGTAGCAATCCTAATTTAACGGTATATTTCCGCATTGTAACGGATGTTTTCATACAAATTTAATCTTTTTACGAGATTATTACTTTTACTGAACCCCAGGTTTAGTGCACCGTGAAGCTTAAACGGTTAAAGTGTGTTTGCACAAGAAAATATCACATTTGCTGTGTTCGGATAGCAACTATAAAACTGTGACGTAGCGCATACACGAGCTCATTATAGTCTTCATTTGCATGTTAAAATTCGTATACGAACTTTAGTGGTACCGTGGGGTTTCCCGTTTAAAATCCTTATTTATGAACAATATTTGATGCGATTTACAACAATACTATTAAACAGGTTAATGAAACTGTGAATGTTTGATTTTTAGGCCGACAGCAAAATATTTTTACATATTTATTTAATGTAACTTTAAAATATTAATATTTTTTTTTAATTTTAAAAATCTTAGATCTTTAGCTCTAACCCTTTCGCTGCCAGAGGATTATAGTTTTATTGATCACCTATTTGCCAAAGGGTTTTCTAAGAAATTACTATATTATTAATTAATATAATAATTATTATTATTTGTTATTAGTATTATAATAATTATATATGTTTCCAAATATGTTAGTATAAAAATAATTATTGTCGATGGTATAATTTTCTTTATATTTTTATTATTATTTTATTATTTATTATTATTATTATTATGATTATTATAGAAACGGCAAAAGCCGTCCATATGGCAAATACGCCGAAAATAACAGAGACGGCATAAGCCGTCGCTATGGCAGTGAAAGGGTTAAGTTATTCTCAGAATAATCTTAAATATTGTGCAAAATTACCCAAAAAGTAAAGTGTTCACGAGCACTGTTATTATGTCGGTTAAAATTCAAATCCTTGTTTTATGTTAAAACAGGACGAAATTCAAGATTTGAAGGAACAAGTTCAGATGTTGGAATCGGCATCACATCTCGGAGTTTCCTCTGTGGCCGGTCAGACACAATCAGTCACTGCTACATCAAACAATTTTGTAGATCAGAATGATTCTATGGCAGATCTTGGCATACGTAAGACGCTGGATTACGACACGCCACAAAGTTCGCCACCCAACTCTAGATCACAGTATGTATGACATGGAAAAAGCTTGTCAAATTGGAACCTTATGGTCCATTTTTAGCTCGACTATTCGAAGAATATGAGAGCTATTGTAGTTGCCCCGGCGTCGGCGTCAGCGTCCGCGTCGGCGTCTGCGTTGGTTAAAGTTTTTTGTAAAGTCAAATATCTCAATTATTACTTGAGATTATCAATTGAAACTTACAATACTTATTTATAGTAACAAGGTGCATCAGATTGACAAGTTGGATAACTCTGCCTACAATATTGACAGAATTATGCCCCTTTTTTACTTAGAAATTTTGGTTAAAGTTTTTTGTGAAGTCAAATATCTCAATCAATGCTTGAGATATTCAATTGAAACTTACAATACTTATTTATAGTAACAAGGTACATCAGATTGACAAGTTGGATAACTCTGCCTACAATATGGACAGAATTATGCCCCTTTTTAACTTAGAAATTTTGGTTAAAGTTTTTTGTAAAGTCAAATATCTCAATTATTGCTTGAGATATTCAATTGAAACTTACAATACTTATTTATAGTAACAAGGTGCATCAGATTGACAAGTTGGATAACTCTGCCTACAATATTAACAGAATTATGCCCCTTTGGAACTTAGAAATTTTGGTTAAAGTTTTTTTGTAAAGTCAAATAACTCAATTATTGCTTGAGATATTCAATTGAAATTTAAAATACTTTTTTATAGTAACAATGTACATCAGTTTGCAAAATTGCATAACTCTGCCTGCAATATTTGCAGAATAATTCGCCCCTTTGAAACTTAGAAATTTTGGTTAAAGATTAAAGGTCTTCAAAGATATTTACTTGAACTTTTACACATGCACTTAGGGTCATAATTGGAGGGTCATAATTGTATGTCACTGACCAAGTTCCATAACTCTTTCTTGCATTAAGGCTGATTCATATCCCCTTTTCTACTTAGTCTCTTGGTTAGTGTTTACATGCAAGTTTTACATATCTCAATAACTATTAAAGATATTTATTAAAAACTTCACATATGCATTTAGGGTCATAATTGTAGGTCACTGACAAAGATCCATAATTCTATCTTGCATTTAGGATGATTTTTCTCCCCTTTTTCAACTTAGAAATTCATGGTTAAGTTTTTCATGTAAGTTGTTATCTCAATAACTACTGAAGGGTTTGTGCCTTTTTCAGGACACAATTTTATGCATTCATAATAATAAAGCAGTGATTTACTTGATAAAACATCTTAATAACAAGCCTTTGTACCTTTTCTGTCAAATTTATTTATTCATAGGTAATTAGTATTATTATACTCAATAAAACACCCTTGTGACATTACCACCCGAATAGTCAAGCCAATACTGTATAATTAGACTCTCTCTTAGGCCTATAACATGAATTTATAAAAAAAAATTAGCCCTTTTGTGAACTTAAAAAATTAAACAATATAAAGGCTCTTTTACTATCAAGCACTTAGAATAGTCGAGCGTGCTGTCCTACAGACAGCTCTTGTTAGCTCACCTGTCACAAAGTTACAGGGTGAGCTTTTGTGATCGCTTTTCGTCCGGCGTCCGTCCGTTGTCCGTAAACTTTTACTTTAAATGACATCTTCTCATAAACCACTATGCCAATTTCATCCAAACTTCACAGGAATGTTCCTTTGGTGGTCACCTTTCAAAATTGTTTTTTTTTTTTTTTTTGTTTTGGGTTTTACGTCACATCGACACAGTATAGGTCATATCGCGACGTTCCAGCTTTACTGGTGGAGGAAGACCTCAGGTGCCCTTCCGTGCATTATTTCAGGCACGAACGGGCACCTGAGTAGAACCACCGACGTTCCGTAAGAATTTAATTCCATGCAACCGAAAGAAAAAACTTTAAATATCTTCTTTTGAAAAACCCTAAGAGCTAGAGCTTAGATATTTGGCATGAAACATCTTCTAGTGAGTGTCTACCAAGTTTGTTCAAATAAAAGCCCTGGGGTCAAAATTGGCCCCGCCCCAGGGGGTCATTGATTTTCCCTATATGCATATAGTAAAAACTTAAAAAATCCTTCTTTTAAAGAACCCAAAGAGCTAGAGCTAAGATATTTAGCATGAAACATGTTCTAATGAGTGCCTACCAAGTTTGTTCAAATAAAAGCCCTGGGGTCAAAATTGGCCCTGCCCCGGGGGGTCATTGATTTTCCCTATATGCATATAGTAAAAACTTAAAAATCTTCTTTTAAAGAACTCAAAGAGCTAGAGCTAAGATATTTAGCATCAAACATGTTCTAATAGGTGTCTACCAAATTTGTTCAAATAAAAGCCCTGGGGTCTAAATTGGCCCTGCCCCAGGGGTGTCATTGTTTTTAACTATATGTGTATAGCAAAAACTTAAAAAATCTTCTTTGAAAAAATCCAAATAGCTAGAGTTTAGATATTAAGCATGAAACATGTTCTAGTGAGTGTCTACAAAGTTTGTTGAAATAAAAGCCCTGGGGTCTAAATTGGCCCCGCCCCGGGGGTCATTGATTTTCCTTATATGTGTATAGCAAAAACTTAAAATCTTCTTTGAAAAAACCCAAATAACTTAGGTTAGATATTAAACATGAAACATCTTCTAGTAAGTGTCTACAAAGTTTGTTCAAATAAAAGCCCTGGGGTCAAAACTGGCCCCGCCCCAGGGGTGTCATTGTTTTTAACTATATGTGTATAGTAAAAACTTAAAAATCTTCTTTTAAAAAGCCCAATGAGCTAGAGCTTAGATGTTTAGCATGAAACATCTTCTTATGGGTGTCTACCAAGTTTGTTCAAATAAAAGCCCTGGGGTCAAAATTGGCCCCGCCCCAGGGGGTCATTGATTTTCCCTATATGCATATAGTAAAAACTTAAAAAATCTTCTTTTAAAGAACTCAAAGAGCTAGAGCTAAGATATTTAGCATCAAACATGTTCTAATAGGTGTCTACCAAGTTTGTTCAAATAAAAGCCCTGGGGTCAAAATTGGCCCCGCCCCGGGGTCATTGATTTTCCTTATATGTGTATAGCAAAAACTTAAAAAATCTTCTTTGAAAAAAACCCAAATAGCTAGAGTTTAGATATTAAGCATGAAACATCTTCTAGTGAGTGTCTACAAAGTTTGTTCAAATAAAAGCCCTGGGGTCAAAATTGGCCCCGCCCCGGGGGTCATTGATTTTCCTTATATGTGTATAGCAAAAACTTAAAATCTTCTTTTAAAAAAACCCTAATAGCTAGAGTTTAGATCTTAAGCATGAAACATCTTCTATTAAGTGTCTACAAAGTTTGTTCAAATAAAAGTCCTGGGGTCAAAACTGGCCCCGCCCCAGGGGTGTCATTGTTTTTAACTATATGTGTATAGTAAAAACTTAAAAAAATCTTCTTTTAAAAAGCCCAATGAGCTAGAGCTTAGATGTTTAGCATGAAACATCTTCTTATGGGTGTGTGGGGGGGGGCTATATACAGGTGAGCGACCTCAGGGCCATCATGGCCCTCTTGTTTAAAGTTTATATACTAAAGAAAAAAATACTATATTGTTTATACAGTGTAAACTCAGAGTGGCCGTCTGACAGTGTAAACTTGGCAGAGTGGCCGTCTGTAGAACAGTAAAATATGTTAACATCTGGCTGAAATTAATGAAATTAATTTTATTTCAGTCCGGGCCAAATTTTGCATATACCTCAAGATTTTTCGATTCTCTAGAACTTAAAGTTAATTATTATTCTCCCTTCAACTGTTTCAGCAACACAGTGTCGTCAAACGATATTGTGGCAAGTCTGAAAATAGAGCTTGAACGATGTCTCGTGAGCAATAAACAAAAACGTGCGGAGGTGTCCGATCTGAAAGAAGAGATGAGGAAGGTCAAGAAAGATATGATGGAGTTTCGACAGCGTTGTGAACGGGCCGAGTTACTCACTCAGGAACAAAAGGTTAGACTAACCAGGTGTTATATCATGACAAAAATGATTCTCCAAAGGCGTCCTCTCATGCCTGTATTAATGTGTGGAGGGTCACCTGTGGTCCTCCTCTTCCAGTAAAAATGGAAATTTCCTATTTTGGTGTGATGTAAGACATATGTAAGACTGAAAGTCACCATTTTGGTGCAATATAAGACCAAAAGTCACCATTTTGGTGCAATATAAGTCTGAAAGTCACCATTTTGTTGTGATGTAAGTCTGAAAGTCACCATTTTGGTGCCATGTGGGACGGAACCCCTCAAAAATATATATAAATGTGAAGTGATCAAAATTTAGGCGGAATGATGCTTGGCCACAATTATTCATAAGAAAGTAGTCTTAGATGTGATACCTTACAGTATTTCAGTGAATCTGCACTTTTTTTATTGCTTTACATGTATATTGCTAAATTAGAATCTGTAGTCTGTATATACACGAAAAACTGTATGTACGAGAAGCTTTAATCTTTTAGATTTTATAAGATAGTAGATAAATAAATTATGATATTCCATGCTTTTTCTAATTTCATTAGTGTTTAAGATGTTTTTAAAAGTCTGTAAGTGTTTTTAGTCTGGTCAACAATGTTAATGTAGAAGAAACTTAAGATCAATAACATAAGCAAAGTTATTTTTGTAACCCATGAAATCTTTAGATGGAGCACACAGTTCCTTGTATATCCGTGCTTCATTCTTTTCTCAATATCTTTTATTCTGGAGCAACAGAAACGTAGTTTGGTCCGTCCTCATAGCTCAGTAGGAAGGGCTTAGGATTTGTATTGCATGGGCTGCTGGATGGATCATTTTGTGAATTTCTTCGTGACATTTGATCCCTCACAATGGTTATTTATTTTAATTTATCTATCACGGTGGTTGAGAAGTAATGGAACGATTAGTATTAGGCTATTGTAGTATGGTATTGTGCAAAGATTGTTAATTACTGGTTAGTTATCCAGAAAAACAGGAAGAATGAAGTTAATGAACGTTGAGATATGACCGAAATGTAAACAAATCAACATAAAAACAAAACAAAGGAATCATTATTTTATGATGTAAAGTATCTTGTAACTTGTTTTTATTTTCCAGAGGAGAATTGCTGATCTTGAGTCATGTATGAGCCCTGGGGATAAATCAAACGCTGTTGAAAATCGGCTGAAGAAAGATGTTGAAAATCTCAAGCGTGAGAAAAAGATTCTGTTAGAAGATACAGAGGTAAGGCCTAAAAAACAAGACTTCATTCATGTCAATTCTACCTATACCTATCTATCAACGAATTATACATTCATGCGGCATTTACACACATGCATTATTCTCTCGTGTAACATAATTACACATTAGTGTGACATAATTGCACACTTGTCAATCATTTTATGAAATCTGAGGTAGTCTTACTGTAATGCTTTCCTGCTAAAAAATTATTTGATTATTTACAGAACGTTAAATTTTCAAAATCTTGGGCATAAGATTATGTACAATCACTCAGCCTTTATTGTTATGTCCTAAATTCCAGTTATAAACAGCTAAAAATTATTGAATACCAAAGATTATGAGAAAACAAAAAAAATCCCAAAATAACCGAATTATTACGATATTGGCCGATGTCGGAATTTTTTTTTGCGGGCAAGCATTGCAGTAAGACTACATTAATTGTGTACTTTTTGCAGGAGTTGCAGAAAAGACTGGAGGAGATATCAAAGAGTGAGGAGAGACTGACGGAGTTAAATCGTGAGCTTAGTAAACAGATATCTGACATGGTAAAAGAGTATGATCAAGATAAACGCGAAGCCGTGGAGAGGTACGTTGTTATTTAACAGTGTAGTTTTTGATTAAAGTAGTTATTTTATAGTGTTATTTTTCCTACTGAGTTGTGTTATTGAGCTCTTAATTTTTGTAATTGCATAAGATTGCAAAATTGAAAACCTCACAGCCTCTGTGTGAATGAATATGTCCATGGACTGTAGGGGTAAGAGTAAGGTGTCCTAATTGCACTCTGGCACTGGCTCAAGGAGAATTCAACCATTTTAAAAATGTATATACTTAGAGACCTCTTCAGATGTTCTTAATACAGCAATCATAGCACCGTCAATCACTTCTCACACATGGCTCCCTTCTCAGGTCCAGGGGGAAAAAAAACCCAACGTCATCAATACAAAACACATTAGTCATTCACAGATAGTAAAAACATTAAAAATGCTGCTACTACTTTCTCCAGTGCACAAACAGTTACATATATCAAAAACATCAGGAATAATTTTTGTATATTCTCTAGGGCACACAGAGCGAGCGAACAGGTTGCCGAGACGTCAAAAAACAAACTCAAGGAAGAACTGACGTTATTGTTTGATGCCGAACGATCAGATATCATCACTAAGTACGAATCTGAATGTAATAAACTCAGGTGAGAGATGTGTCAGAAATGCTTTATATTTCGTTCCGCCTGAATAACTCAATAGGGAAAGCAACAAATTCGATACACAGTTTACCTGTTCGATCGAGGTGTATAACATTTGATCTTGTTCAGAAATAATCCAGAAATTGGTAATTACTGGTTAGTTATCCAGTAAAAGCCAGTTAGGTGATTGATTACCTGCTGAGATAAGTTCGATATTGGACCAAAGAGATCAAACATACTGTAGAACTATGAATATTATTGAATTTTTCAATATTTACTTTTGTCCAGTAATATTGTTATAATTCTGAAACCACTCTTGCTTTGTTATACCCCCACAAACGAAGTTTAGGGGGGGTATATAGGAGTCAGCTTGTCGGTGGTCGGTCGGTCCATCGGTCGGTCCACATCATGGTTTCCAGATGATAACTAGAGTTTGGAGTGAGGTATTGTAATCAAACTTAGTATATAGCAACCTTATGTGGAAATCCCGGTTGGTATTGCATTTGGACCCCCTGGGGCCAAGGTCAAGGTCACCGTTACTAAAAATAGAAAAATGGTTTCCGGACAATAACTAAAGTTAGGAATGAGATATTGTAATCAAACTTGGTATATAGCAAGCTGATATGAAGACCCCGGTTGGTATTGCATCTGGACCCCCTGGGGCCAAGGTCAAGGTCACCGTTACTAAAAATAGAAAAATGGTTTCCGGACAATAACTAAAGTTAGGAATGAGATATTGTAATCAAACTTGGTATATAGAAAGCTTATATGAAGACCCCGGTTGGTATTGCATCTGGACCCCCTGGGGCCAAGGTCAAGGTCACCGTTACTAAAAATAGAAAAATGGTTTCCGGACAATAACTAAAGTTAGGAATGAGATATTGTAATCAAACTTGGTATATAGCAAGCTTATATGAAGACCCCGGTTGGTATTGCATCTGGACCCCCTGGGGCCAAGGTCAAGGTCACCGTTACTAAAAATAGAAAAATGGTTTCCGGACAATAACTAAAGTTAGGAATGAGATATTGTAATCAAACTTGGTATATAGCAAGCTGATATGAAGACCCCGGTTGGTATTGCATCTGGACCCCCTGGGGCCAAGGTCAAGGTCACCGTTACTAAAAATAGAAAAATGGTTTCCGGACAATAGCTAAAGTTAGGAATGAGATATTGTAATCAAACTTGGTATATAGAAAGCTTATATGAAGACCCCGGTTGGTATTGCATCTGGACCCCCTGGGGCCAAGGTCAAGGTCACCGTTACTAAAAATAGAAAAATGGTTTCCGGACAATAACTAAAGTTAGGAATGAGATATTGTAATCAAACTTGGTATATAGAAAGCTTATATGAAGACCCCGGTTGGTATTGCATCTGGACCCCCTGGGGCCAAGGTCAAGGTCACAGTTACTGAAAATAAAAAATGGTTTTCGGACATTAACTAAAGTTAGGAATGAGATATTGTAATCAAACCTGGTATATAGCAAGCTTATATGAAGACCCCGGTTGGTATTGCATCTGGACCCCCCTTGGGCCAAGGTCAAGGTCACCGTTACTAAAAATAGAAAAATGGTTTCGGGACAATAACTAAAGTTAGGAATGAGATATTTTAATCAAACTTGGTGTTTAGCAAGCTTACATGAAGACCGCGCTTGGTATTGCATTTGGACTCCCTGGGTTCAAGGTCACAGTTACTAAAAATAGAAAAATGGTTTCCAGACAATTACTAGGGTTAGGAATGAGATATTGTTATCAAACTTGGTGTATAGCAAGCTTATATCAAGATCAAGAAAGTTGGGATTGCAATAAATTGAAATTTTATTTACTGTAGGTTTATTTCAAATTTTTCTTCAGACAACTTATTTTTCAAAAGTCAAAGTTGCTGGTGGGGGTATTAATCACCTTCAGTGATAGGTCTAGTTTTGACAGTTTTTTTTTATTATTCAAGGAGTAAGGGAGAGCTGTTGCACTTGAGCTGGTTTTGGCATCTCCTTCACACTTTGTTTTGTTTTTTTTTGCTTGCACGTTCATATCGCCAAAACTACTAAAGGGAAAGGGCTGAAACATAACACATTTGTATGACATGATTACCTTTCATGATGGGCATAGTTTCCCCATAACTCTGATAGTTATGCCGTGATGGGCAAGGGTAGTTATGCCATGATAGGCACAGATCCCATAACTCTGCCAGGTACACCACCATAGGCACAGGTTCCCATAATTCTGATAGTTATGCCACATTTCTTACTGTCAGCACTGAGCGCTCTGCTCTGTCTTACGGACATATCTATTTAGTATATTTTTGTCACAACAGAGGATGTTTTTCAATGTGATGTCAAAATGTGACGAGATTTTCACACACATAAAAATGATGAATGGTTGTGTCCAAATTGAAATTTTGACATGTTAATGTAAGATATTTATTGTGTTATTAGGTTTGATATTTATGCCTAATAATGTATATTATTTTTCTGTTAACAGGGAGGAATTAGTATCTACACAAGAAGAGATGGATAAGGTGAAAGAAGAATATGTGAAGATGTGTGAAGAGAAGGACAAAATGAGAGGGGATATCCATACAGAATGGCAGGGAAAACTTGAATCCTCCCTTCAACAGGTGAAAAGAGCTACAATGTCTTTTAAGTGAAAGGAATAAAAAAGAAGAAAAAAATATACATTTTTATTTTATCTTGATTTTAGTGAATGCTTGAAAGTCATTTGATTTTATTAAAAAGAAAGAAGGAAAATAAAGAGAAACATGTTTATTTTATATTTATTTTTGTGAAAGTTTGAATCTCAGTTGAATAAACCATAGAGTTTACTTCTCCTATTTTGTAACTTTTGTTGGGAGAATGAATTAAATAAAAGTTTTTGAAATAAGGTATTAAATAAAACTTCAACTGAAATTGAAAATATAATTTGGCGTAAGTCGTAGGACTTGGGATACACTTGGGACTTTCTATGATCTTTCCTGATCTTTACTTTGAGATCATGGGGCCCTAGTGTCATAAAAACCATAGTTATGGCCTCAGTAGGGCATAAACCCATGATTCCTTGGTTGAGAGGCAACAGGGAAAATCTTTTGAAATCTTAGAAAATACACTATAAGTGTTCGATGGATGGTCCCTGACCAATAATTATTAATATTGTTTTATTTTTAAATCAGGTCAAAGATTCAATGAAGAAAGAGACAGAATTATCAGTATTAAGGGCAGAAGAAAACTGGGCCAAACAAAAGGAAGTGGAGATAAAGAACATTAAAGAAGAATTGACACGAGAATTTAACGAGGAACAGAATAAACTCAAAGATAATTTACAAGAAACTTGTGTTAATGAACAGAAACTTGTGGTACAGAGATTGGAGGCTGAACATTCCGCTGAGATGAAGGCAGCTAAGGAAAGGTTTGAGGCGGAGTTGAAGACAATGAAGGACATTTTGGAGATGGAAAAGTCGAATGATCTAGAAAAATTGGACAAAGAAAAAGTGAATGAGATTGAAAAATTGAAGAAAGTGATTATTGACAAGGAGTTGTATTTAAGTGAAAAAGAACAAGCATTTAAGGAGAAAGAGATTGTGTTAACAGAAAAGGACAATGTTATTGAAAGTTTGAAGTTAGAACATAAGACAGATATGGAAAGTGTTCAATCAGAGATGAAGAAATGTACGGACAGAATAGAGGAATTGGAAAAAGAACTAAAGGAAACTCGTGAAAAGATTGGCGAGTTAGAAAAAGAACTTGGTGATAAATCTGCACAGCTTGAACAGTTAGTGTGTAGTTTAGAAGAAAAAGACATCATGGTGGAGAGCTTGAAATCTGAAATCGAGACTTTGAACACGGAAGTGAGAATGCTTGAAAAGTCAAGACAAGAGAGTAGGGATCAGTTAGAAAAGTTGCGAAAGGAATATGAAAAGAAAATAGCAGAAAAGGAAGTGAAAAAGCAGGAAGCAGGGTCTAGTGTCGAAAACATTCTTAAAGCAAAAACAGATGAAGTTAACAGACTGAAGAAAGAGTTGGAAAAAAGAGAGTTGGAAAAAGAATCGGAAATAGAGAAATGGAGAAGAGAAGAGCTGGAAAGAACTGAAGTTGATAATTTAAGGAAAGAAATCGACAAGAATATTAAGAAAGACCGGCAAACTGAAGTAGAGAATCTGAAGAAGGAAGTGATTCATTTGAAGTTGGAGATCGAGCGGTTGGATAATAGCAAGCAAATGGAGGTGGATAAAGTGTGTAGACTGAAGCAAGCTGAAATCGACAACATCGAAAAGCGTAAAAAAATAGAATTAGAAAAACTGAAGAAAGAGAAACAAGTAGAAATAGAAAGACTGTTAAAGGAGAAAGAAGAGGAGATAAAGAAGATAAAGAGTTCTCAGCAAGAACGAACAACTGATGAAGTTGATATTACGGAAAAAGTACGAGAACGGTTAAATAAAGAACTGGAAGAAGACATGAGTAAAACCATAGAAACAAAGGTAAGTGAAAGGATTTTAAAAACAGTTGTTAATTCAAATATTATAGTTTACAATTAGAATCTGCTTTCCACTTGGTTGTACTTGAGGTGTTTCCAATTAGCAGGTAGTATATATAAATAATATTTGGTTTAAATACTACATGTACTTTGTTTACATTTGCTACTTTTATGACAAATAATTTCCAATACAGCACTATTTTCTTCATGTGATGCATCTAATATGCTCTAAAACTATTATTTCAACATTATTAAACTCATGTTTGCCCTACCTAAAGTAGGAAAAAATATTTATTTCTTAGGCATAATGTGCCTTTAAACAATGTATTGTGCCAAAACTCAGAGCTGACAAAGTATATTGACCAAGCATGGGGAAGAAGTTTATAATAAACTTTTAAAGTGAAATATAGCATATATTGCTGTCCATTCATAAAATTCTTATGTTGAAATCCCCATTTCTATAAATGGACAATTACTGGACAATGTTAATTTCAGAGTAGGATAATTCCATTACTAAAATCATGGGTGAAAAGATGAATACAGTTGATTAAGGTAGAGAGTTGAACTAAAAAAAATTTGATTTTGAAATCTTCATTTTTAACAAACTTTATTAGTCCATTTCAAATGTTTGTAATTTTCTAAAGTTTGGAATATTTTTGCTATCAAAATCTATATTTTTTATCAATGGACGTTGCCAGTTTCAAAGCCAGAAAAGTCCATTATTTAAACCAGGGTTGGAAAGGTTAAAATGATAGTTTCAAGTGGTGTTGTTTATAAAAAGTTTGATATAGAAATCCCTATCTGATCAATGGACTGAGTGCCAGTTTCAAAGCCAGGCAAGTCCATTTCTAAAACTAGGGTTGGAAAGGTTAAAGTAATAGTTTAAAGTAGTCTTGTTTATAGAAATTTTGATATTGAAATCCAAATCTTATCAATGGATCATACAAATTAATTTGGATAATTCCATTATTAAAATTGGGGGGTGAAAAGGTTAAAAACAAATTTTAGGCAGAGTATTGTGTATTAAAATTTTTTGTGTTGAAATCCCTATCTGATCAATGGACAAAGCCAATTTTTTTGTATCCTTCATAGATCAATAGTAATAATAAAAAAGAACCAAACATACTTGAATATTGAACAATCTTTTGTAATTGATACATAATATTTATCATGTTTATATAGGGTCGTAATTAGAGTTGATCCAAGTATTGTTTTAAAGCTACTTAAATCATGTAAACATGTTCTAACACATTGTTTTATCCAAATTCAACTAAATAATCTTGTTTATAAAACGGAATGCCGGATTTGTTTCATGTAGGGGGATACTAGAATAATGTGATTAAAACAAGTTTTTTGCTGTATGATGCAAGGTTAATTTGAAGCTCGGAAATTATGTTTTTGAGGAAAAGTTAGATGTTTTCTGTATGGAGAAAGTGAAAAATGTGTTATTTAAAGAGATATATGTATTTAAGGATTATGATTTTGGCAACAGTTTTCGAACTTTTTGAACATTATTTTTTTTGAGGCAATAATGTTTTAAAGTGTATCAAGCAGTTTAAATGATCTTTGGAATACAAGAGCTTTGTCCTAATAATTGTTTTTGAGTACATTTTGTGTACAGACTTCATGATGGTGGTACAATTTGAGTACAGTCTTCTTGATGGGGGTATATTTTGAGTACAGTCTTTATGCTTTGTGTACATTTTGTGCACAGTCTTTATGCTGGGGGTACATTTTGAGTACAGTCTTTATGCTGGGGGTACATTTTGAGTACAGTCTTCATGCTGGGGTACATTTTGAGTGCAGTCTTCATGCTGGGGGTACATTTTGAGTACAGTCTTCATGCTGGGGGTACATTTTGAGTACAGTCTTTATGCTTAGGGTACATTTTGAGTACAGTCTTCATGCTGGGGGTATATTTTGAGTACAGTCTTCATGCTGGGTGGATATTTTAAGTACAGTCTTCAAGCTGGGGATACATTTTGAGTACAGTCTTCATGCTTGGGGTACATTTTAAGTACAGTCTTCATGCTAGGGGTATATTTTAAGTACAGTCTTCATGCTAGGGGTATATTTTAAGCACAGTCTTCAAGCTGGGGTACATTTTGAGTACAGTCTTAATGCTGGGTGGATATTTTAAGCACAGTCTTCAAGCTGGGGATACATTTTGAGTACAGTCTTCATGCTTGGGGTACATTTTGAGTACAGTCTTCATGCTGGGGGTATATTTTGAGTACAGTCTTCATGCTAGGGGTATATTTTAAGCACAGTCTTCAAGCTGGGGATACATTTTGAGTACAGTCTTCATGCTTGGGGTACATTTTAAGTACAGTCTTCATGCTTAGGGTACATTTTGAGTACAGTCTTCATGCTGGGGGTATATTTTGAGTACAGTCTTCATGCTGGGTGGATATTTTAAGTACAGTCTTCATGCTTGGGGTACATTTTGAGTACAGTCTTCATGCTTGGGGTACATTTTGAGTACAGTCTTCATGCTGGGGGTATATTTTGAGTACAGTCTTCATGCTGGGTGGATATTTTAAGTACAGTCTTCAAGCTGGGGATACATTTTGAGTACAGTCTTCATGCTTGGGGTACATTTTGAGTACAGTCTTCATGCTAGGGGTATATTTTAAGTACAGTCTTCATGCTTGGGGTACATTTTGAGTACAGTCTTCATGCTAGGGGTACATTTTAAGTACAGTCTTCATGCTTGGGGTACATTTTGAGTACAGTCTTCATGCTGGGGGTATATTTTAAGTACAGTCTTCATGCTAGGGGTATATTTTAAGCACAGTCTTCAAGCTGGGGATACATTTTGAGTACAGTCTTCATGCTTGGGGTACATTTTAAGTACAGTCTTCATGCTTGGGGTACATTTTGAGTACAGTCTTCATGCTGGGGGTACATTTTGAGTACAGTCTTCATGCTTTGTGTACATTTTGTGCTTACACTTCATGCTTAGGGTACATTTTGAGTTTTTGTATAAATTCAACAGCCTAATTTTTTAGTTCGATTTTTAGTTGAAACCTTTATTATATGTCTGAGGTAGAACAGTAAAGTTTTTGATGGTGCAGGATAGTACAGTTTATGTTTTGCTTCAGTTTTTTTTGTTTGTGCTTTGAGACATTTGGAAGGAATTATAAGAAAACCTGGTAATAATTAATGATAAAGGATTGGATTTTTTTAACAGTTTGGATTTAAACAGTGATTTCGCATAGGAAAACAGAAGGAAAAAACAATGAAATGAAAACAGCAATCCTCATTGGTAAAGGATATGTAATAGTGTTGAGATTTAACTAGTTTAATTTACGAAAAACTTGAAAAATGAAAGAAAACTGTAATCTTTGACAGTAAAGGATACATATTGTTACCAGTTTACGGTAATATTGTTTGTGCAATGGGAGATGTGAGAAACTCTGAAAGCTACTCTGATGATGAGTCCCTTTATGAGGTACTGTGTTCAAATGTTATAGAAAAGTGTGTGTTTATTTATCTGCGAGGTTATGTGTTCAAATGTTTAATAGGTTATGTGTTCAAATGTTATAGAAAAGTGTGTTTGTTAATTTACGAGGTTATGTGTGTAAAGGATAAAAAAACAGTAGTGATTTTTTTAGCACAGGTTATCTATAGTTTTCAACCAACTAAGTCAGCTGGACCAGGTGTTAAGTCATGGTTTAGGTTCTAGTGAAGAATGAGCACAGGGCATTTCAGGGGAAAATATAGTATTATTAGGGGAAAATATACCTACTTTTGGCTAGAGAAAACAGTATTTATTTGTCTGTTATAGATAGATGGAGGGAATTACTGAATATGCTTGTAATAACCTTTAAAAAAAGCATGCCTCCAGATTCATGCTAATTTTCATGAAAATTTTGAAAAATGTATTAAAATGTAAAATGTTGTAAAGTGAGAAAAGAAATCAATTTAGAGATTGCAAAAGGCACTTATAATCCGTGTAAATTACCAAAAAGTGGGGAAATAGCTATAACTGAGTAAGTCAGGTAGTAGATTTATGCTATTAATAAATACTGCAAAATCAGTCATTGATCCCACGTTTCGCATAAATTATTACTTGAATCTTTTTACTTTCCTTGAAATCTTAATACATTTTTTCACATGACAAGTTTGACAAGTTTGTTAGGAGACATGCAGCTTTTAAAAACATTTCTGAACCGTCCTGTGATTTTTAAATTTTTGTGTGTGGCTCACGTTCTGTTATATTGTACTCGATTTGGCTGCGTATTGGCAATATTAAATACTCAAATTGTTTGTGACCTGAATGTAATTGTATAAAGATAGTTAATGATGTTATTGAATTAAAGTAAGGTTAGAAGTGTCGTGTTTATTTGTGGCTCAGATTTTATATTGAAACATTTGTTTTGTTTTACGTACATTATAAGAAAAGGCCGAACAATTTGCATATTTGATGAAATTTTGGGATTTAATCTTGATAGGCGATACTGATTTTATTGGTTGATATCAATACGATTTTCTTTCTTATGGAATGAACCCTGAAAACAATGACTGGATACCGATCTTCAATGGCTTGGAGTGATTTAATGTAGAAATAACTAACATATGATCAAGGGAGTAATAGACCTAGGTAATTAATTGTAAAGCACCTGTCACGCACCTTGTTAATTGTAGTTTTTACGATTTATTTTAGAGTCAGTCTTATGCGATTGATTTTAACTATACGTGCATAGCCTGGGTCATAGTGGTAACAAACCTTTGGATTTAAAGGACTCTTTTGGAATTATATAAGATGAATAAATGAAAGTTTTGAATATTTTGAACAACAGGAAAAAATGCAAGAAAAATGCGTAATTGCGCATTAAAATATGAAAATTTTGATTTGAATACAAATTGGGAGTTTAAACGAGTGAGATAAGGAATGCAATGCTATATAAAATGAAAAAAATAGTCAAATGAAAAATTTTAAGATGATTAGATTTTTTCATGGCAATCTGTACGCTATTATAAGTCTTATGAAAAAAACTGATTAAAATTTTACAAGCCAATGTGTGCGCAACATGTGTTCAAGACTCGAAGTAGTGTAACTAGTCACTTAAGTAACACTACATCAACAAAAACAACAACGGAGCGTGAAAGTTTGAGAGATTTCCTGGACCATTTTCTTGTATGTTTAAATATTGTAAAAAGCTGATTTTTTTGGGGGGATTATGATTTAATTTTGTTTATTTTCCTGAATTGAAGATTTTTGCAAAAATAGATGTTATCTACCAAAAAAATAATTCTTGATGTCATAAAAGTGAAAGTAGAAATTCCGAAATATTTAACTTCTACTAAAAGTACTTTTAAGGTTGATTGATGTCTTAAAATTGTTGCCTTGTTAAAATTTTTAATCTTACAGCATGGGAATTGTGTGCGGTTAAAAGATTTCTTTAATAAAAGAATTGTGGTAAAGTTAAATTGATAATAGTCTTGTTATTTCTTAGCTTTGCAAGTTGTGTGTGGTAAACTTTATTATTTATGAAAATTTTTCAATCGACCTTAATCTTTTGCAAGTCTTGTGTGGGAAAGTAGAAATTTATGGAAGAATTAATGGAAGTCTTGTTACTTCATAGCTTTCCGAGTTGCATGTGCTAAAGTAAAAATTTATGAAAGTTTATCATTTCTTAGATTTGCATGACAGAGTGTTATTATTTATGAAAATTGTCATTCCTTTCTTTTGCAAGTCTTGTGTGGTAAAGTAAAAATGTATTGAAGAAATAATGGAAGTCTTGTTATTTCAAAACTTTTCAAGTTGCATGTGCTCAAGTAAAAATTTATGAAAGTTTATAATTTCTTAGATTTGCATGACAGAGTATTATTATTTATGAAAATTGTTATTTCTTTCTTTTGCAAGTCTTGTGTGGTAAAGTAAAAATGTATTGAACATGTATTAATGGAAATCTTGTTATTTCATAGCTTTTTAATTTGCAATTTGTGTAATAGATAATCATTTCTTGGTTTTGCAAGTTGTGTGTGGTAATACTTCAATATCAATTAAGAATTTTGTAATTTCTTTACTTTGCAAGTCTTTAAAATGGATTTGCCCTAAATGTGTTTAATAGACTTAATATGCCCTGCTTTCAATTATTATTTTGGAACATTTCATTTTTGATTTGGGGGAATCATCAGGTTCCAAAGTCTTAATTTTAACTCTCAACCTGCTTTTATTTTGTAATGGATTTTCCCAGCTGAAGATTGAAGGTATATCAATAATATAATACCAATATTGAGCTGCAAATGTAATAGAGCCTGGTCAAACAACTGCATGACTGTGTAGGCTTAGTGCCTGGCACTATACAGTGATGGCTGAGGCTGACCACTTGTGGTTTCAGCAGGTGAACAGTTAGCAGACAAAGACAATCCAGCGTTGAGTCAAACTGCACATATTCTGTCTGCCTTTATCAGCTGAATTAATTCTTATAGCAAAGACAATCATATATATTTTATAAGCTGTAAAAGGGTTGTCAATGAGTAGATAATATTAAAAAACAAAATTAATGTTTTATTTTTTAGGTCGCCATGTCAAAGGTGGTCTGGCTAGAAGAACATAGGGCAACCAGGCAAGCTGCTATCGACAACGCAGTAAGGTTAGCGGAAACCGAACTCCGGCTCAAAATGGAGGATGATTTGGAATCTAAACTTGAAGCTAGGCTTGAAGAAGGTGAGTTTTGATTGGTTCATTTATAATCTTGTTAAAGTTTATTTTATTGGTTGAAAATTAAATCCATGCTTGAAAAACATGAGATTTGATTGGTTCATTTTCTTGTAAAAGCCTATTTGATTGGATGAAATTAATAAAAATGAGTAGTCAGCTGGAGTTCTAATTGGCTTTTTCTTAATCAGGGCCCTTATAACCAGATAGGGGACTTGGGCCAGAGGCCCTTGAGTAGGGGAATTAAATTTCATTCTGAAGAAAAAGAAATTTGTTTCTTATTAGAGTCTAACTAACTTAGTTGTTGACCTACATTTGTTTGTGTTTATAGAAGTAGATAGGACGTTACAATGAATGATGATATTAGCTATAATGAGGATAGTTTATGTGAAATGAACTGTCAGAATTTTTCAAATTTATGCCGCCTCATTGGACAAAAAAAGTAGGACAAAGACTAAAAATAGTTTGTTTTTTCCATGTAGCCAAGATTTTATGGCAGAGTGACAGCATGGCTCAACTTGATGAAGAAAGGAAAAACTGGGACATGATAAAAGATGAAGAAATTGTTTCCCGGCTTGAACAAGAGAGAAATAAATGGCGACAAACAGGTTGGTAACGAGGTTTTAAACTTTGATGTTTTTGACTTTGACTCCTGCACTGGTTGGTTCCGGGTTTTAAACTTTGCTGCAAGGGACGTTGTTATCAGAGTAGCTTAGCTCTTAGCTTGTTGGCGAAAACAGATTCTACCCATGCGAACAGAGCTGACCTTTAACAGCCTGTTATTTTCATGCTGTCTGATAATGGTCTACACTGTTCAGTCAGTACATCATATTTAGAGATTTTCCTTGAAAAAGATGAAAGGTTTTCTCCAGATTTAAAGATGGACAAGTCCATTCTAGATATTTAACAGGATAAGGTTTAGCATTTAGCGTTGTTTTTTTTAAACCGTATAAGGTTTAGGTAAGACCGATGGTTCTTCCTAGATATTAGTTATCTCGTATAATAAAATACAGGTTGAGCTTGCACTGGAGGTCTTTTTACATCCACCAGTTAAGGTTTAAAGATTCTCAGATAATTATTACATAGTCATTATGGTTCAAACCCAATTAAATATAAAAAAAACCAAAAGAGAACAAAGTCAAATAAATCAAGGAAAAAAAATTGTGTTGGCTCAATCTACAGAGTTATAGCCCTTGTCTGTTCTTTTTTTGGCAGAACTGCTTGCAGAGCTCGAGACTGAGAGGCAGAAATGGAGTAAAGAATTAGAACAGCGCCTGGAGGAGGAGAAAGACAGTTGGCGAGAGTTCGAACTGGAAACTGAAAAACTTAAATGGGCGTCTGACTGGGAACGCAAACTTCTTGAGGAGAGAGATGCCTGGGTGAAAAATACACTAGAACCAGCCAAAAGAAAATTGAAAATGGAGGCTGAGGAAAGATTGAGATTAGAAAAGGTGCGATTATTAGATATAAATATTTTTGACTGGTTATGTAGCCGTATTTACATGTTAATGGTTGTTGGCATATAACCCTAGCCGCAGGGTGAGGGTAATATTGCAATAACTGTTTATATAATGTATATGGCCATATAACCTGTCACTAATCTTTATGAAGAGCTTATATATACATGTACAGCACTTTTCATTTATTTGATGAAAAAAAAATGGATAACTTCATTTATTGGCAGCAGTATATAGCTTATTTAAATATCATGATTATCCAATGAAAAGTGATGTTACAAGCGTTATATAAATTAATGATTATCCAATGAAAAGTGTTGTTACAAGCAGGCAGTATAAAGAATTATATGATCAAAGTTTATGAAATTATATTCAAAGTGCTAACCAAAGATAGGTGACTGTATAAAAATGCTTAATCTCACATGAATTTTTTTTTTAGAGTGACATTATTATAATTTTTTCACTGTTAAGTTTGTTTTAAGAGATTGACTATTCTGAAACAAATGGTTTCTTTTATCAGGAGAATTGGCGCTGTATGGAATTAGAGACGGAGAAACTCAAGTTAATGAGAGAGTATGAAGAAAGAATTGCCCAGGAAAAACAAACATTCACCAATAAAACTATGCCAGAGGTCCTGGAGAGAGAGAAGAACAAATGGAGAAAAGAAACAGAAGATAGACTGAAGAAGGAGAAAGATCAGTGGAGAAATACAGAACTGACAAAAGAAATTGACAGAGAAAAGGTGAGGTTTATCATGGCTGTGCAGTGGCTTTTTCCCTACATATGTTAATGCCGCTTTTTTCCTTGCATTTATTCATGGACTCAAACCCTCACCAATACTGGTTCTAAACCCTCCATTTTAATCTGAACCCTATGTTGGCCCTCAATACTCCCATTTTATTCTGAATCCTTTATCTGGCCCTGAACACTCCATTTCATTCTGAATTTTTATCTGAATCTTTTATCTGGCCCTGAACACTCCATTTCATTCTGAATTTTTATCTGAATCTTTTATCTGGCCCTGAACACTCCATTTCATTCTGATTTTTTTTTATCTGAATCCTTTATCTGGCCCTGAACACTTCATTTCATTCTGAACCCTATGTTGGCCTTCAACCCTCCATTTTAATTTGAACCATGTTGGCCCTTAACCTTCCATTTATTTCTGAACCCTATGTTGACCGGCAACCTTCCATTTCATTCCGAACAGTATCTTATCTTTAAGTAACATTATTCTTAAAAGAACTTGAGAGAGTTTTCTTGCAAATATATATACATATATGTTCACAGGAGAAATGGTTTGAGGAGGTTGAAGGCAAACTACGAGAGGAAAGAAATAACTGGAAGAATTCAGACTTACCAGAGGAGATCGAGAAGGAGCGGAGAAAATGGATGAAGTTGATGGAACAGACGTTGATCAAGGAGAAAGAGAACTGGAAAAACCGAGATCTGCCTTCGGAAATACAAAGAGTTAAAGAGGTATGGCTCTGAGAAAAAAAGGCTTTGTAGCGGAGGATTAGATTTGGTACTAAAAGATTGGTCCGCCCACTTAGCTCCATAGGGAGTGTATGTTGCTAGTTGGGATATATGGGTAAAGCAAAATCTCATCCATGACAGTTGATCTCGAACATTTTTTTGGATAAATTTTATCACTTGCAGTATCAAAAAACAAACAAAAATTGCCCTAAAGGGTATTGATCTGCAAAGGTTTTACTGTATCTTACATCTTTTGAGTTTTTAGAACCTTAATAACTGATTGAGAAATTTTTTTCTGATATTTTAGAGTCTTAAACAGAGTGCAGAAACAGAACTGGAAAGCAGACTGGTTCAAAAACTGGAAGTTGAAAAAGAAAAATTACAAAAGGTAAACCAGTCTTTACATGTTTTGTTTTGGTAACAATATGAGGAAATAATTTGTGTTTAAACTTTAGCAATAAGTGGGATGATGAAGAACATTTTTATAGGGATTTAAAGTGAATTGGTCTATAAATGAAGGTTTGTAATACAATAAAATTATTTACATTGATAATATCACACATTACAACATACATGATTAATGTTACATTTTCAGATAATATAGCAGATAATGTAATGTCCCAAAACCAAATATGATGATTATTAATCATATATATATGGTCATACTAAATCACTTAAAATGTTCTCAAAATTTGTTTTTAAGACATAAATTGGTAAGAATACTCAATTGATAAATTTCTGTTGTTTTTATCAGTATTTAAAATTCTTACAGAAAAGTTGTCCTTTGTAGACCAATTCACTTTAAAGAGGAATACATCGTAATATGTTCCTGATCACATTAAATATCTTCAATGGACTTGTCCATCTTTCAATATGGACAAAACCATTTATCATTTTAAGGTGTAAAATTTTCAAAAATAAGTGGTGTTAATCAGCTGATCTTGATCTGCACTGGTCATATGGGTAGATTGAGTGGCCGCGAGCCAGGCAGTAGGTTAATACTCCCAATATTTTGTTAAAATTTTCTGGCATGGCAGCTTAAACTTGGAAATTTTGAGGGAAAGTTTGTGAAATTGATTTTGGAAAATACCTGTTAATTATTCTTAAAAGATTGGGGAATACCTGCCATTAACCATTTTCTGAATGTGTGATTTTGGTGCTTTATTGTGCACTGTTTGAAAATATGGCAGGTTGAGGAAACAAAACAAAGGTCTTTCTTTATTCACTTGCAATATGTTGAAATTGATTTTATATTAATAATTTGTCAGCATGTTTCCATATTTTTATAATGGCATTTGCATATTTTCGCAACCAGTCAAGAAATGGAATGTAGTGATTGGTCAATTTTATATACTGAACTCAAAATTGACCAATGAGATGCTTTGGTTACATAATTTTCTAAACTAATTTCAAAAATTAACCAATCATTTGCTAGGAATGCTTGGGCATTTTCAAATATTCTTATCCTATGAGGGAAGTCCTGAAAACTTTATACACTGAGTTATTTGTTTCAGGAAATATTAATTTTGCTTGAGTGCATGTATTCATAAAGTTCATATATGTCACAATTTTAATGAAAAAGGTGGTCCATACACAATACTAAATCTTTTAACTTAACTTATTGCCAAAGTGGTCAGAAAGATTGTTGAGCTATATGGCCAGTGATTACCTTTTTTGGAAACCGCAATAATACATATTTGCAAATGAAACTAAAATTAAATTGTTTTGTGATGTTGCTAAATTAAAAAATTTACCATTGTCATATCAACATTAATTTTAAGGACATGATTGGTGACATGTCAGGGGTCCATTACTCTCAGTGCCTGAAAGGGCGGATGGACCCTCATTTAAGTCTAGAATACATGCATACATATCAAAATGTGCATTAAAGATAGAGCATTGGCTCAGTCAAGTAATAAGGGTTAAAATTTGATGTTAAAATTGATTATTAATTAGGAGAGTGAAGCAAAGGTTTTAGAGGCCATAGAAGAACACCAGGATGCCTGTAAGCAAGAATTAACAGCCACAGTAAACCTGGAAAAAGAGAGACTCAAACAAAAGTTTGATACAGAGCTACAGGAAAGGTTTCAGGCAGAAAAGAAGATATGGAGGAGTATGGTGGACCAAGAACTTAGCGAAAAGTTGGAAGTAGAGAAAGAGAAATGGAAGAGGAAGGCCGATAGTGATCTGAATAAAAAACTTGAAGCAGAAAAAGAAAGATTACGGTCCTGGTTAAGGGCAGATAAAGAAAAGAGGTTTGAAGAAGAGCGGAAAGTGCTAAGGGAAACAATGGAAGAAGAGTTTGATAACCAGATGAAAGTCGAATTGGAAAAATTGAAAGAGAAGTTCGAGAAGGAGGCGAGGGAAGATTTTGAACATTTAAAGGCAAAGTTTGACATGGAAAGGGAGCAAGAATTTGAGAGACTGAAGTTACAGCTTGAAGAAGAGAGTCAGATGAACTTGGATAAAGAAAAAGAGCTGCTTCAGACAAAGATGGATCGGGAGTTGAGCAGGAGACTAGAGAACGAGCAGGAGAAATGGAGGTCAGAATTTGAGAAGGAATTAGGAGAGAAACTTCAGACAGAAGAACAGAAATGGAAACAGATGATTGAGAATGATATTGAAGTCAGACTGAAGTCTGAAAAAGAAATTTGGAACGCAGAAAAAGTGAAAGAATTTGAAGAGAAATTGACCCATGAGAAATGTCAATTAGAAACTGAATGGAACGAGAAGAAACAGAAAGAGATGAAAGATCTGATTGAGAGGGTAGAGGAACGAATGAGATCCGAGTTGGACGAAGAGATGGATAAGGTTCGACTTGACGTAGAGCAGGAGTTCCAACTTAGAGTTGAACAAGAGGTTGGTAGGGCGTGATCTAATCTGCTACCCTTAACACCTTGCTAGATTTGCTTTGTAACCACTTTTCAACAACCCTGTTTAATTCATTATTATCATCAATGTCATGATGGATATCATCATAGGTTCTTCTATCATTGTCATTGTCTTTTAGGATACGGAGTTTAATTGTGCTCTGGTTCTTCATCATCATCATCATTTTCATAGTGGGTTTCAGGAGACAGACCTTATCATTGTCATTACCTTAATTGGGTTACCTCAATTCATAAGGCAGTGCGTAACAGTAATTATCATCATCACCATTATTGCACAATTAGCATCTGTGTGTGACTGTCAAGACTTTTGAATGATCTATGAAAGTGTTTGTTTTTTTTGTTAAAGACAAACTAACCTTATGTCATATTGTATATCTATTTTTGAATGAGCTATCAAAATATGTTGGCATATTCACAAGAACACTTGGAATATGTCTAAAATAGTATTGGCTGAAACTTTATCATCGTCATTGTCATCAATATCATGTTTATAAGTAACTTGTGTGAATGCTTTTTAGGTGATCCATTTGTGGCCAAGTGGCAATGGTTGCTGACTAGTAAGTCTTGCCATTACGCTGCTTCCGGTTTGAATCCTATCTTAAGACTGTATAAATCTTTCCTATAAAAAAGTTATCCATATAGCTTATGGATGTTTAGTGGTTCTATTCAGCTACTTACTTGTGCCTTAAATAGTGCACAAGAGGGCATTTAAGGTCTTTGTTCACCAGAAAAGCTGGACTGTGCCTAATAATCTTGACAGTGATGGTATGACTTCAAACCCAACATACCTAAAATGCTTGATTATAGACTGAAATTTCATCATTGCAATCATCATCCTAAGCAATTTGTGAGTCATCATCATCATTGTCATCTTTGAGTCATCATCATCATTGTCATCATCATCATTTTCAGAGTCATCATCATCGTTGTCATCTTTCAGAATCATCATCATCACTTTCAGAGTTATCATCATTGTCATCATCATCATTTTCAGAGTCGTCATGATCATTGTCAACATCATCTTCATAATGATCATCATCTTAAGTTTTGAAAGCATCTTCATTTCTTTCCATCTGATGAAATAATATAGATAAACAATTTTTCTTCATGTTTACTCTACATCTGTTTTCATTTCTATGCTAGTGAGTTGGGACTTTTCACTTTTTGGTCTGATAAGTTGTGCTAAAATTAGATTGCTAAAGAAAAATTCTAACATTTTGGGTTTTCTTTTTTGCTTTGTAGCATAGATATTTGACATTAGTTTACAATTATTGCCGGGTCAGGTGTCTAACTTGTTACAATGCTAGATATTTGTGTAGTGGACATTCCGTTTGAATTTGGAACCAGTCAATTTATTAAATACAATCGATTTCGAATCAGTCCATTGAAATACAATCAGTTTCAAAGCAGTCCATTTAAATACAATTGGTTTTAAACCTGGAATTTCTGAAATTAATTTAGGAAATTTATGATGTAATTAGGGAAATTCAAGATTGAATTAAAAATTTTAAACATTAAATTGGGAATTTTCAAGATCAAATTTGGATTAAAATCTAAAGATTAATTGGGAATTGTAAACACTAAAATTTCACTTTTAGCAAAGAAAACTGCTTACTGTCATTAATGCTTAATCATCATGACATTTACATGTATGAAATGATTTTTCACTGTTTTGTTTTATTTTGTGTATTAATGTAACATAATCTTAATCTTGCATGGACTTTATAACCTATCTTAGAAACATACAAATGTATCTTGTTAAGTGAGATTGTAATGTGTGAATTTCTAGAAGATAAAGGTTTGTAACAGGTTATATGGCCAAGTATAAGCAGTTTGAGTGCTTATATATCCCAAATACTTAAAAGAGGTTTATATAATAAATAAACTATTTATACACAATCCACATAACCTGTTAAAAATCTTTGTAATAAATAATAATGCTGCACAGTAATGTTGTGCTTCATTATATTGAAAATTGATTTATAAAATATTTAATCCCTGTTCATTGTATATGAATGATAGAAACAACAGAATTATCCAATGAAAATGAATGTTACAAATGTGCAGTGTTATAAGCTATGATATATAAATATATTTATATACAATAATAGATTTTATGTTGAAGTCTCATAATATACAGCTTTTTGTGACTTGAGAAAAGTTATATTCTCTGATGACCATTATCTGAGGGTGATATCAATTTTATCTGATCAGAAAAACTATATATTGACCAAAACATAGGTCTATAACTATTATATTGTATACTGCTGGCTTAGAGTATTATGTTTATATTTGATGAAAGAATATCACGCCGTAATTAAGCTTGACTTTAACAGGTTAAGACATGTCTTTTAGCGGTCTACAGGTCATTTTGTGGACGCTATTTAGTCAGCCAATCAGAACGTGGCTCTTGTAAACAATATGTGACATCAATGCTATTCAGCCAATCAGAACGTGGCTCTTGTAAACAATATGTGACATCAATGCTATTCAGCCAATCTGAGAACATGCTTTTGTGAATGATATGTGATGTCATTGCTTATCAGCCAATCAGAACATAGCTCTGGTAAACAATATGTGACATCAATTCTATTCAGCCAATCAAAAAGCAGTATACCATATAAACTTTTGCTGTGATTTAGCCATATGATATCCTGTGTGATAATAATGTTAATAGAACAATCTTGTGTGTTTGTATGTTTGCTGTGAAGTGAAGTGAGCTTCCATTTTATTATGTCATGCCAATCTTAAGAATAGTGTTTTTACTTAATCTGTGTAGAGTTCTTATGGGGGATGTTTTGTAAAAGATATTTGGATTGATTTTTACACTAGATTGAAAAATTTTGTAGAAGGTTTTCCTGTATTGGTTGAAGTATTCAATATCATTTCTTTGCTGATTTGAAATTTTTTTGGTAACTTAGATTTTTTTTAGTTTTTACATCATTTTAACGTTATTAAGTAATGATCACTTTTTTTGTAAAAAACAAATTCTGGTGACCAATAAAATTCTCGGGGGAAAAAATGTTTTTGAAAATTCATTTGTTTGATTTTAATGCGTTAATTATTTTTGTTTGAATTTTTCAGGTATATTTAGTTATATATTATTTCTGTGTACTTTACTATTTCATTTTAATTTACAGATATTATAATAATGGTTTATTTAAATATTTCAGGTAAAAGTAATTATATTATTACTGTGTAAATTATATTTTTTGTAAATTTATAATATAATTGTTATTGTGTATTTTAACTATTTCAGGTAAATCTAGCTGTAGATGAGGCCAGGGACGACTGGAATAGAGAATATATGATGAAAATGTCCATAAATACAACTAGTGCAGAAGCTTCCCAGGGTCTTCTCAAAGAGGTACACTATACAGTATAATATACACAGTACCAGTTTTAATTTGGTTTTAACCTTAAACCTGCTTTGCCCTGCCTCGAATTTAGAAATTTTAGGTATTTCAGTATCAAACTTTAAAATAATATGCATATTTGGGGTCACTACTTCACTTACCCATACACAACTTTGGCTATGAAGACTATCATTGACTTTGGATTCTTTGTGTAAGGAATCTTTCTATCTAGCTTTACTCGGGTGCCGAAAATAATGTACTGAGGGGCACCTGAAGTCTTCCTCCACCAGTTGAGCTGAAAAGTCGCCATATGCTTGCTTCAAAATAAAAGGTTACAGCCAGGTATTTTAATATATAAAAAAATAAAATATCTAGCTGAGTGGTTAAGGTTTTTGACTTCAAACCACTGCTTAAATTGATACAGCATAGACATTACTTGCATTTAAGACCAGTATTATTCTAGTTAAAGTAACAAGGTCTTTTCAAGGAAGTACAGTACAGAATTTATTTTCTCTCAATGTTAGTTTTATTCAGGTTTTACATGTATATTACTTGTTTTAAAGATCAGTTGTATTCTGGTTTTGATTTACTGACCTACACTAGATGGTAATCTAACCTAGAAAAAAAAAATATTTCTGTTTCCTGTTGTGCTCAGTGGAGTCCCTTTAACTTAGTCTTACTGTAATGCTTTCCCGCCATAAGAGTTCTAACATCGGCCATTATGGTAGTAATCAGTTATTTTGAGAAGGTTATTTAAAAAAACAAAAAAAACTTAAATTATTTACAATCACTCATCTTTTATCGCTATGTCCAGTTTCTAAATGTTAAAAAATTATTGAATACCATAGATTGTGAAAAATAACGTTCCGGAAATGATTGATTTATTACGATACTGGCAGATGTTAGAAATTTTTTGGTGGGAAAACAATTCCAGTAAGATTACCTTTAACACCAATATTAACCATTTAAGGAGATAGACAACCTGAAATCACAGCTGAAGGGAATACAGACTGAGCTGATAGAGAAGGAAGCTTCCTGGATGAAGGAAAAAGAGGACATTTTACTGCAGAAAGACTTGGAGAGAAGACAAGCCCTTGACTTACTCCAGGAGCAGACTGAAAATGAGTACAAACAGTTCCTGGAAGAGCACAAAGACATGCTGGATAAGGCTCTAAAAGCTGCAAGAGAACAGCATAACAAAGACAAGGTCAGATCTTTGGTTGTTTTTGTAAAGGACTGATGTTGAAATCTGTCCTCGATGTTTAAATTTTAGGATATACAGAATTAATTTTGCTTTACCTGTTAATCTACAGCCTTTCCTGGTTAACTTAGAATTTATTTTAGTTTGATTATGTAGAAACGTTATAGCTTATAGACACACTGTTGAATTCATTCCTGGAACCAACCTGGGTACAAGGTTATAAAGAATTTTTTCTAAGCTTACACTCAGATCTAAGGTATTTTATTGGTCAAAAACCAGCACAGATGGTATTATTGACCAATGAAAAATCCTTAGATTTGAGACTGTGCTCAGAAATAGGTTTTATAACTTTGACTCCAGTGCAACAACTTTAAAGTTTTTGCTCAAGGAAACAAAACCTCTGGGGTTTGAACCTATGCTGCCACATGTTTACTGTTGTTTATTTTATTGGCGAGTGGTTGGGTTACAGTGAGAAACCTGTGTGGAATGTCCTTCTTGTGACATAATTTTTTCCTAAAGCAAGATTTCTAAAAAAAAATCAATAAATCTCTGTACAGCAGCACCCTATAATCAACAACCAATATTGTTGTCTTTCAAAGGGTGTTGTTATGGGTGTTGTTCTGTGGAGGTTTTACTGCACAATCAAAGACCATTCCCTAAATATTGGATGATGGATAGAGACTACCCTCTTGATAAAGACCATTTTGCAGACCATAATTTCAGGCTGATTTTAAAATATGAAATATTGCAACAATGCACTAATTTCAGATTGAGTTTAAAATGAAATTGTGTTACAAATGTACTTATTTCAGGTTAAGTTTAAAATGAAGAACTGGTACAAATGTACTAATTTCAGGTTGAGTTTAAAATGAAATTGTGTTACAAATGTACTAATTTCAGGTTAAGTTTAAAATGAAGAACTGGTACAAATGTACTAATTTCAGGCTTATTTGAAAACAAAATATTTCAGGCCGAGTTAGAAGAACGATATACCACCCAGTTGAAAATTTTCCAGGCTAGAGAGAAGTCTTTACAGGAACAGCTTCAACAGTCTATGCATGGAACTCAAGTAAGTTTGCTAGTTAAAACCGCTTCAGTTTATACCAATTTATTTTAGTCTGATTGTGTTGGAAGCTATAAGCTTATTAAAACACTCTTGAATCTGTTCCTGGAACCAACCAGAACTAAGCAATGAGTGTAAAATTTCTTGCTTGTGAAAACAACAACTTGCCCCTGACAGGGTTTGAACCCAAGCGACCAGCAATCCTTAGATTATTTGTCAAACCCATTAACCACTTGGCCATGATTCATTTCCCTCGTTTTGTGTAGCATGTTTGATTTTGATAAGTGTCAAAATGATATTACACTAGTGTAATATAGTTTTTATTAAATTGGTTTATTACACTCCTGTGCTATGGTTTATGTGATGAAGATATTTTCGCTTTTTCTTGAACACTGTATGATAATGAACACTGTATGATAATAGTTTGCCAGTATGGTTCTGAAGGTTGTATTGACCATCATCTTTTTGTTTCTGTTATCAAAGCATCAGCATGATACCCTGGTCGACTTTGAGAAAGAACAGGTCATGTGGTACGATGAACGAGACCGACTTCTACAAGAAATCTCCGATCGTGACTCTCTGCTCGGCAAAGCCGATGTGCATCTGTCGAAGGAGGTGGACAAACTGCGATCGGAACTACAGGCAGCCTATCAGCGACGCTTAGAAGGTGAGATGGGCTCGTACCGTCAGAAGCTGGAGGCGGAATTTACGCGGGCGAATAACTCGGAGCAGAAAGAGAAGCTACAGCTGGAGAAACAGTTGAGCGAGGTGAACACAGAGTTGAACAGACTGAAAGCTCAGCTGAAAGAAGAAAGAGGAAAACATGCAGAAGAGGTGCGTTGTTTAACTTGGGGGGGAAAAAGTCATTTACTGAAACAATCTTTAAATAATCTTTGTTTCCCCTCCCGCAACCCATGCCAGTTTGGGTATGTTAGGTAGATAGATAAAACTTTCTTTTTTCTCAAGTATTACCTATTTATAGGAACCACCATGTTAAAAATTGATTGATCACCTTTAAAGTTTGATATTCTATTTATAGTCCATGATATATAATCTATAAATAGACACATATAATTATTATGTGAGCATTGAATAACAATTACATAAACTTCAACAGGTAAAGAAGATAACAAACAAACTGAATGAGATCGAGAAAAACCTAGAAGACAAAGATCGTTTGGAGGGGGAACTAAAGAAGGCCAAGGAACTTCTCAAAGGCTTTAAAGAGGAGTTGACCGACCAGCAGGAAAAGTGCGGGAAATATAAGACCGAGCTCGAGGATGTGACGGCCAAGTTGAATAAGTCATTACAGAATCAAGACAAGCTTCAGGTTAGTGGTTTGAATCAATATTCTGCCTATATAAATTATAGATAGATTTATTTTCGTTATCAGGGACGGGAAAATCAGATTTTAACTGACTTGTCAATTTTTATCTGAAGTGTTTCTTAATATGTCTGTGTGATACTTATATATTAAATTCCTGAAACTTTCCACTTGTCCGTACAAGCTGTGGGACAGCCTAAGAAATACGGACAATTGATTTTGCCGCTACTGATTATTGTGCAATAACATGGTAAAGCATACCTTATGCAATAAAAAAACAATATACCTTATTGAATAAATAGAGGATATTGAATGAGTGTAGATTCATACTAAATTTATTGAACAAGTTGAATAAAATCATATTATGCAAGCCTCTGGCGAGCATAATATTGTTTTATTCAACGAGTTCAATAAATTTAGTATTGAATCTACACGAATATAATATTCTATTTATCACATATATAAAATAAGAACAGTAAACTGTTAAAATGAGTTATTTTTCAATGACGCACCTATAGTGTAACGCTAACATTACCGCGCTTTAACGCTATGACGTCACGTCAAAGTGTTATTACACTAGTGTAATATCGTTTTTATTGAATGGCTTTATTACACTCCTGCGCCACATTTTATGTGATAAAAAACAATAACACAGACCTGTATGATAAGTGAAACCACATTGTTTACATCATATCAAGGATAATAAGTAGTCCTTATGTACTGATGGTATTGACAGTTTAGAATAAGGTTTAAATTTGTACAACTGAGCCGTTCCTAATAGATGAGGGAAGTCTGTTCCACAGGACACCGCCATTATATGCAACCGTAGACTCTGAAAAAAACAACTGCATCAAATTTATTTTTGGCCGTCTCAAACTTGAATAATCTCGCTGTTGCTTGTGATAAAACTGAAAGTGATCATCAAGCCCACTTGTCAAAATTCTGATATGTTGATATTTTAGACTGAGCTTAAAAAATTCCACGAAGAGAAATCTACGAACATTGAGTCGGTTCAGTCGATCGAGGCTTCGTACAGGAAGGACGTCAGCTTGTACAAGCAGAAACTTGAAGAATCCAACATCAGAATATCTAAGACTGAAAAACTCTTGCAAGATATGAAACACAAATACAGGTACGGTGATTAATGTTTTCATGACAATATTATAAAAACATGCTTTTCATTTCTTCTGAGCTAAAGGTTTTGTTGGTTTTTTTTAGCTCACCTGTCACAAAGTGACAGGGTGAGCTTTTGTGATCGCTTTTCGTCCGGCGTCCGTCCGGCGTCCGTCGTCCGTCCGTAAACTTTTGCTTTAAATGACATCTCCTCATAAACCACTGACCAATTTCATCCAAACTTCACAGGAATGTTCCTTTGGTGGTCACCTTTAAAAATTGTTCAAAGAATTTAATTCCATGCAGAACTCTGGTTGCCATGGCAACCGAAAGAAAAATCTTTAAATATCTTCTTTTAAACAACCCTAGGAGCTAGAGCTTAGATATTTGGCATGAAACATCTTCTAGTGAGTGTCTACCAAGTTTGTTCAAATAAAAGCCCTGGGGTCAAAATTGGCCCCGCCCCAGGGGGTCATTGATTTTCCCTATATGCATATAGTAAAAACTTAAAAAATCTTCTTTTAAAGAACCCAAAGAGCTAGAGCTAAGATATTTGGCATGAAACATCTTCTAGTGAGTGTCTACCAAGTTTGTTCAAATAAAAGCCCTGGGGTCAAAATTGGTCCCGCCCCGGGGGTCATTGATTTTCCCTATATGCATATAGTAAAAACTTAAAAATCTTCTTTTAGAGAACCGTAAGAGCTAGAGCTTAGATATTAAGCATGAAACATCTTCTAGTGAATGTCTACCAAATTTGTTCAAATAAAAGCCCTGGGGTCAAAATTGGCCTTGCCCCAGGGGGTCATTGATTTTCCCTATATGCATATAGTAAAAACTTAAAAATTCTTCTTTTAAAGAACCCAAAGAGCTAGAGCTAAGATATTAAGCATGAAACATCTTCTAGTGAGTGTCTACCAAGTTTGTTCAAATTAAAGCCCTGTGGTCAAAATTGGCCCCACCCCGGGGGGTCGTTGATTTTCCCTATATGCATATAGTAAAAAATTAAAAAATATTCTTTTAAAGAACCATAAGAGCTAGAGCTTAGATATTTGGCATGAAACATCTTCTAGTGAATGTCTACCAAGTTTGTTCAAATAAAAGCCCTGGGGTCAAAATTGGCCCCGCCCCAGGGGGTCATAGATTTTCCCTATATGCATATAGTAAAAACTTAAAAATTCTTCTTTTAAAGAACCCAAAGAGCTAGAGCTAAGATATTTAGCATGAAACATCTTCTAATGAGTGTCTACCAAGTTTGTTCAAATAAAAGCCCTGGGGTCAAAATTGGCCCCGCCCCAGGGGGTAATTGATTTTCCCTATATGCATATAGTAAAAACTTAAAAAATCTTCTTTTAAAGAACTCAAAGAGCTAGAGCTAACATATTTAGCATGAAACATGTTCTAATGGGTGTCTACCAAGTATGTTCAAATAAAAGCCCTGGGGTCAAAACTGGCCCCGCCCGGGGGGGGGGGGGGGGGAAGTCATTGATTTTCCTTATATGTGTATAGCAAAAACTTAAAAATCTTCTTTGAAAAAACCCAAATAGCTAGAGTTTAGATATTAAGCATGAAACATTTTTAAGTAAATATCTACAAAGTTTGTTCAAATAAAAGCCCGGGGGTCAAAACTGGCCCTGCCCCAGGGGTGTCATTGTTTTTAACTATATGTGTATAGTAAAAACTTTAAAAATCTTCTTTTAAAAAACCCAATGAGCTAGAACTTAGATGTTTAGCATGAAACATCTTCTTATGGGTGTCTACCAAGTCTGTTCAAATAAACAAATAAAAGCCCTTGTGTAAAAATTGGCCCGGGGGTGGGGGGGGGGCCTATATACAGGTGAGCGACCTCAGGGCCATCATGGCCCTCTTGTTGTTTTTTTTGTTTGTTTTTTCGACAATTTTTTTTTTTTCGACAAAATAATTGAAATAAATCTTTAGTGTAAACTGTATTTTTATTTGTAATCTTTTTATTTACGTGATAAAGAACATAGAAAATAATTTTACGGACAGAGTAGGAAGCTTAATGAAGCTTTAAAAAAAAAAACTCTATAATCTTAAAATAGATTTTTTGGGTGATGTCTTAGGCTTTTTCTGGAGGCGGTCTTTAATTAAATTCTTTCTTGGATAATGTAGAATAAGAGTATTTATAGGAGACTCTGAAATTACTGTTAAATTGTTATGTTTCTTCTGAAGGGTGGGGTAAGATACATTTGTAGTTTGGGGCAGTGTTTAATTGTATTTTTTGTTCAATAGGGCAGAGTTTTTATTGGCAGTGCTTAATTGTATTTTTTCTTCAAAAGGGTAGAGTTAAAGAGTTTAAGGCTGTTTTAATTGTATTTTGTCTTCAAAAGGGTAGAGTTAAAGAGTTTAAGGCTGTTTTAATTGTATTTTGTCTTCAAAAGGGTAGAGTTAAAGAGTTTTAGGCTGTTTTAATTGTATTTTTCTTTCAATATAGAGGAGTTAAAGAGTTTTAGGCTGTTTAAATTGTACTTTTTCTTCAAAAGGGTAGAGTTAAAGAGTTTTAGGCTGTTTAAATTGTATTTTTTCTTCAAAAGGGTAGAGTTAAAGAGTTTTAGGCTGTTTTAATTGTATTTTTCTTTCAATATAGAGGAGTTAAAGAGTTTGAGGTAGTGTTTAATAAAAATAATTACATTTTTTCTTTAAATATGGCCGAGTTAGGGAGTTTCAGGAAGGCTCTTAGGGCAATTGTTAATTGTATTATTCTTTAAATAGGGCGGAGTTAGAGAGTTTGAGGCAGTTTTTAATTGTATTATTCTTTAAATAGGGCGGAGTTAGAGAGTTTGAGGAAGGCTTTAGAGGCGGAGAATGATGTGGCAATGAACGCCATGAAAAACAAGATGATCGAGCTTCAGAAGAAACATGTAGCCATTGTTGAAGAAATGAGGCGTAAACATTTACTGGAGAGGGAGGAGTTAATGAAACATGGTGGCCAATCAGCTGTTGGAAGGGGCGTAACACCAACACCAAATACGGTAAACCATCCTCCAATTGAATTTGGCATTTCATATGTTACAAGGTTTAATTTTGGCAGAACAAAATTGCCTTTGATTTCAGATTTTTAATAAGACTGTATTTTAAAATATGACTGTATTTTAATTATCATCTAAATTTGTAGGGAAATAGGGCTATTTTCAGTGTATAATGGTTATACAACCATCAAAATTAGTTACTGAAGTACTAGAAATTCTGTATTTAAATTGAGGAAAGTTTTTTGGAGTTTTGTTATGGCTATTTTCCAAGGTAAATACCTTTCAGTTGACAATGCATTTCAGGGAGAAGTAGAGGAAATAGATCTGACTGTGAAAGAACTGAGGTCTCAATACTTAGATACAGTTGCCAAGATCAAAGGTAATTATGTTTATGATATCATATAGTTTCCAAGTTAACCTTAATAAGTTTATGGGGCAAATTTGACATTAAGATATGACCTTTTTATATAAGCAGGTATAACAAATGTGGATAAAAGAAAGCATATGTGCAGTATTAATATATATTGTTATTATATTCCTATGCCGATTTTGTGACTTCGTAAAAATGGTATTGCTGGGCCTTGCAAATATTTTTTTTATTTGAGTTGTACAAACAGCGTTAAGATGCACAAAATGCAATCGTTATACTATAGGCACAGCAATGAAAAATGGTCTTTTTTTCACTTCAAACGGTTGTTATTTTTTGTATGTGATAAATAAAATATTGAATTTTTGTAAGTTCATTACTGAATTTATTGAACTCGTTGAATAAAAAAATACTATGCCCGCCACAGGCCCCCAATATAAAATTTAGGCAACTCATTCAATAAATTCAGTATTAAACTTACACCCATTCAATATCCTCTATTTAAGACCTTTAAGTGTTATGGCCTGATGACTAAGACTAGATAAGCTTACATGTAAAAGTAAAGAACATCAAAACATCAGGCTATCTGATTTGTATGAAGGGGCATAGCCCCTTGAGTATAAATCAGAATGCCGAGTGTTTTGATGCTCTTTCTCTTTTGTATCCTAGGCAAAAATAAAAGCATGTTTTTTGAAGTCACAATATGAAACCCCAGAAAAAAATAACCAATGAACAAGCATCTGAATATGATATTTTTATCACTATCCCTTTCTCTGTCGTCACAAAAAGTAAGCCACACAATAATGATTTCTATTGTTACATCACATACAAATGCTGAAAGTGGATTGGTTATATTTTATAATATGTGAAATGAATTATAATTTTGTAGGAGATGTATTACGGCACATCACACAGACCAATGTTCGAGCTGCAGAGACGGTCAAACTTGAGATGGACAAAGAAAGAATGACCACCTTCCAACAGATCAAGGATTTCTACAGACAGAATGTGAAACAAATTCTAGATACAGAAATTGTTGGGTAGGTCTACCATATATTTTTTGGGACAGAAAAAAATTAAGAAAAAAAAAGAACTACAGAACTCCTCTTAATGATTTTAAGGGGACGGCAGAATTTATATCTTTATATCCAGATATCATTATATCCGAGAGAGAACCATTCTGACAACGAGAACCAGAACTGCAGCAAGAGCATCATTGTTAGCGGTAAATCGTTATAAAGCGATATCACTATAAAGAGCAGTTTACTGTATGTATCAGTCATTTGTGGTTTGCAAGCCCAACCAGGGTCATGACATAATTTCCTCACATTAAAGCAGTTCTGATTATTTCAAAGACAGGGAAGAGTGGTTCAAACCCCTTTAGGGACAAGCTTATATGTCCTTGAGCGAAATGTTTTACACTCATTGCTGACTGGTTCGAACACAATCAAACTTAAACAAAATTTGTATTAAGTAATTTAAGAGTGGTTTATTAAACTGCTTTAACTTTATTTAAAATTGCAGCATAATATTTTGTTCCTGAATGCAGTGTTCTGTTTATGTACAGTTTTCATGCGTGTTAAATAAGCAAGACATGGTACTATAGAAGGTGGCAATTCTTTCGAGAATCAACCATAAAATTATTTTTATTGTTGATAAATTTTATGAAAAGTTCTTTTTATTAGATGTAGCTTTATACCATTTAAGTGATTTTTAAACAAATTTAGATAGAGTGGAGCAAAGATTGAGAGCATTTGTTATTTGTTTCTAACAAAATTATTCATTTTCTTTCAGAGCAACACTGGAGAGTAAGTTACTAGCCGTGGAAGAGGCATTGGAGAATCTTTCCAGTAATCCAAGCTCACGTTCTGCCACGCCGAAATCTGACGAGTTCATCTTGGATGAACGCCAAATGAAATCTAGGTCAAGGTCTGCCTCGAGGGATGCTGGGATATCACCGAAAGGTCAAAGGTCAGTGTCATTCACGAGTGGCACCAAAGGTGATAGGTCACGTACACCGGTGAACTCTACCAACGATTTGTCAATGTCGAGTCAGTTTGACGACCCGCGGAGTCCGAAAAGTAGACATTTTACAAAATCGCCACGAGAGCTGAATATAACTGTTCGTGGAGATAGGAGCACTGAAGTGCCTGACTTGCGGTCTTCGTATGATTGGAAGTATGAGGACAATGAGTTTGACACGAGACGCTCAGAAAACAGACCAACATCCGCTCGCACTACACGAGAATTAAAGGAAAATGACACAAGAGCACGCGACAATCGTCCTCTTTCTGCTAAGTCCCCCAGAGAATTACATTTATCCCTTAGACATAAAGGTGTGGAGGCTGATTATGAAGAAGAACGAGGGCGGGAAAGAAATAGAAGCGGAGATAAAAGAAGGTCACGGACATTAATATCTACAAGAGATATTCATGCAGGGAGATTTTCACGTACTGCGGAAGGTGGCGATGTGACAGATAATTCTGGTTACTATGGCGATAATCGTGCAAAGAGTGTTACCCCTATGCATAGTTCAATGTCAAGGTCTTCACCTTCATTGTACCGACCTGTTTCAGTCCCAGATTTAAGTAGCGAGGACAAAGAGTTAAAAGTATGGGCCGAAACTAACAATGACTCTTACAGATATACACCTCTGCGTGAAACGTTAAGACAAGGGACAAATTTACATCGAAGTAATAGCAAGTCAGAATCCGATCTAAGTATTGCCGAGAAAAATTTCGGCCCCTTGAAACCTGAATATGATTCAAATCTGGACCTTTCTACAGGAAGTTTGACCTCAGATTCTTTATTCACTCCACGAAAGCGGGACGCTGGCGAGACGCCAACAAGCACGCCACGTCGTCATTCCCACAGAAAACATTACACACTTCATAGTTTTCCGACCAGGGACCAAATAACAAGTGATTTAAGAAATCGGGAACAAAGTAGTGGTAATGAATATCGCAAGCAGACGCAAAACATTTCACGAAATGACGATGTCGGTGTAAATTCCCCTGTGTCGTCTGCACGTACTTCGAAGAAAAATCTTCCATTAATTCAGTTTCGGCATGGAAAAATGCAGAGCTTAGGGCGTGGACAAGTGACTAATAGCAAATCTCCCCATCCGGAAGACGGTGTAATTATTCGAGACACGCCTCCAACGAGAGATACTTCCGGTTCACCGGAGAAGCATTATAGGCCATTATCAGTGTCAACAAATACTCACATGGATTTCTGAAGTGTTCTGTGTGTAGAAAATAGAAATAGATGACACGTTTTAGAGTTACACGCATATTTATATTTCTGTAACTTTGGATTTAAAAATCGTTTCTTTCAAAGACTTGATAATGGCTATGTTGTCACTCCCATATATGGTTTTTCGGTAGAAGTCGTAGATGGCACGGTTTAAAATTACACAAATACACATGTATATTCCACTTATCCAGAAATTGTCCAACGCAAAATGTGTTGATGATGAGATAAAAAAAGGCATATGTGTTTACTCATTTGTGTTTTGACTAATACGCAACACAATATTTTTTAGCATAAACTTGTTGTGCATGTGTTATAGCAAGAAATTAAGCAGAAGGAGATGAAAAGGACTTCAAGAAGGCATTATAATTTGTATTTCTATATATCTGTAAATAGGAAATAACTTTATTTCGCATAGAATTGTTATAGATAATGGAGTGTGGGAATCTGAAATTATTGTAGTTATTTATTTAGTATTGTGTGAGATTTGTTTGAACACTTAAAAAAGTTACGGCAATGCTTAAAGTGACATTATGCTCATTATTTTTCTTTCTTTTTTTGCTGTCGAGTTGAGTTAAATCAGTAATATTTAAAATTTCAAAAGATTGACTTTTATAAGGATGTTTGACCTTCAGTTGATAATGGATAATGTTCATGATACACTACAAGAACTACATAAATTATAAAAAGACTGCCTGACTCGTCCTCTTTTTTTAGAGGCAAGCATTATCAGTTCATTCTGAACAATTTAAATTTCCATTAGTCTCATAGACATAATTGATTATTTTATCATAGTGAAATATAAAGTTGAACACACATTAATGGCAAATTGTCAAGGTAATTTTTATTTTTACCTGTTCACTGACTATTAACACTTGGCTGGGTATACTGTCACTTTAATTAACAAGAACTGGAGTAGAAAAATAAAAAAAATGAACTTTCAGGCAGGAAAAAAAATCTTTTTGTTGATAAATCAAAGAGTGAAAAGTAATATGGAAATGTCTTTTTCTTTTGTTTTGCTGAATTTTATTTGTGAATTAATTGATAAACAAGTTTGTATGAAAATGTACAATTTATATAATGTTAAATTTTAGGCAATTACATTTTCTCTAAACTTTCTCACATTGTTAGGTAACATCGATACAAAATTTGCCATTGGATCCCAGTCAAGAAATCTAAGTACCCAGCTATTGGTCAGTTTCAAATTTGAATTTAAATTTTGTGACCAATCAGCTTCTGGTATTTGAGACAAAGACTGGTTTACAAATTCAAGTTATTTTTTTTCCTCTCATTTTTTTTCAATGCACAAGATCTGACTTTTAGGGTATGGCATTAATCTATTCATCTTTTTGGGATTTTTCTGGAGACTGCCATGACAAAATCAGGGGTTTTTTTTATTTACCAGACTACTGCCTTTCATAATTTTTGTTGTTTTTTGTCTAATAATAACTAAATTGAATTTGAATCTAAATTGAATGGGGGTAAGATTTACTGTCAGGTTTCTTATATTATTGTCCATGGCTTAGTGGTTCTGGTCATTGACTTCAAACAACTTGCTCTACAATGTTGAATGTTTCGAATTTGCTAGCTTCTTTAAGATTATTTCATGTGAGAAAGATATCCAGCTAACTTAGGGAGTGTCCATAGTTTAACTCTGGTGCCCGTACATGCCTGAAATAGTATACTTAGAAGCACCTGAGGTCTTCCTCCACCAGGTAAAGCTGGAAAGTCGCCATATCATCTTTGCAGTGTTATGCTGCATAAAACCTTACAAAAATAAAAAATCTAGCAGTTACTATGTTTTTTAAAAAAGAAGAAGTATGATTTTTTTAAAAAGAGGATTTCTTTTCTTTTATTACAGCATAGCTGAAATTCTAAGGAAAATGAAGAAAGGAAAAACCTACAAGAAAACTGATTGTCATTCCTAATAAATAATTAATTTTGTCTATTTTGGTTGTAGCTATTTCTTTTCTTTTTTTTTTTCATTGTATTCCAAATGCCATGTTGGGCTGTCGGTGAAATATTGTTGGTTTTCAGATAAGTAACTGACCCAGGAAGACTGCACAAACGTAAATATACATGTATATTGATTCTTTTTTTTTAATTTTAAAAATTTTATGCAAAATAAGCATTTTCATTTTGAAACTTTGAGAAATTTATCAAATATTGTACAATGCTTATGAAGGGCTTTTATTTTATGGAGAAAAAACAAAGTGATTAGCTTATTTTGAAAAGAAAAACTGATGAGATTTTGCAGTGTGTGATATTTTTGATATTTCACTGATGAGAAATATATGCCTTTCTATTAAACAAGCCATTGTAATTAAATAGGGAATAGCATTAGGTAGAAAGCAATACAATACTGTTTAAAATGTCAAACAAAAAGATGCTATTTGGGTGTAAAATGTAAAATTAAACATTGATCATTTTGAGAGAGAAAAAAGTAAAAATCTATGTGGATTTTGTAACAATATTAATTTAAAGTTGCAAGTTTTACTATGTCGTAACATGTGACAAACTATGTTATGAATTTATGTAATGGTAGGCACCCATGTGGCATCTTTTTCCCTTGATATAGTCAATAATTTATAATACTGCAAATATTCTAAAATTTTGTCATTTTTTTGTTTGCATACAAAAAAATTATACGTTCTGCTGTAAATATTATGTTTTTTGCTTGGCACATTGATTTTTCTGTAAATATTTTTGAAGAGCTTCTTGTACATGTATGATTAAGTTAATTCTGCTGTAAATATTCTGCTTCACATTTAGTATGCTAAATTTAGATTTGCTGTAAATATTCTGAAAGTTTGCCATCTTTTATTGTGGCACATAACATAATTTGATGTAAACATTTTGAAATTTTGCCAGTTTAAGTAAATGTGATATTTTTGCACATTCCGTCCATCTATTTAAATGTAGCTGTAAAAATGTGTTATACTTTTTTGAACAGATCATATTGTCAATGTTTGAATATTGGATTTTGGTTTTTGACCAATCAAACATGATTTGTTATTCAGTATTCTTTTTACTATACATGTATTCTGATGAAACCCTTACCACTCTAAATATCTTAAATGGACTTGTCCATCTTTCAATCTGGGCAAGACCATTCATCATTTTTAGGGAAATAAGGCTAAGGGTTTAATATGCTTAGTTGTTTTTAAGACCAAAGTCGATAGCTTTACCCCACCCATGACTGAAATATGACATTTTTTTTTTTTAAAGCAACAAAACCTGTCACTGGAAATTAATGGGAGCATTCATCATAGTCAGTGATGTTCTTGGTATTGCTTGTTTCTTTGGGTTTCTTTTTTTAGTCCCCTACCGGTTTACCGGAGGGGACTTTAGGTTTACCCTCCGTCCGTCTGTCCGTCTGTCCGTCCGTCTGTCCGTCTGTCTGTCAGTCCGTCAGTCCGTCCGTCCACAAAACTGGATCCCGCGATAACTTGAAAAGTACTGAAAATATTTTTATGAAACTTGATATATGGATAGATGGCAGTATGGAGATTATGCACGTCTTTTTCTTTTCTTCCTATGTTCAAAATTCTGGTTGCTATGGCAACAAATAGGCTGAAAATATGGCAAATTTTACACATAAACTGGATCCAGTGATAACGCAAAAAAGTACTGGAAATATTTTTATGAAACTTGATATATGGATAGATGGCAGTATGGAGATTATGCACGTCTTTTTCTTTTCTTTCCTATGTTCAAAATTCTGGTTGCTATGGCAACAAATAGGCTGAAAATATGGCAAATTTTACACATAAACTGGATCCAGTGATAACGCAAAAAGTACTGGAAATATTTTTATGAAACTTGATATATGGATAGATGGCAGTATGGAGATTATGCACGTCTTTTTCTTTTCTTCCTATGTTGAAAATTCTGGTTGCTATGGCAACAAATAGACTGAAAATATGGCAATTTTTACACATAAACTGGACCCAGTGTTAACGCAAAAAGTAATAGAAATATTTTTATGAAATTTGTAATATGTGTAGATGGCAGTCTTGAGATTATACACGTCTTTTTCTTTTCTTCCTATATTGAAAATTCTGGTTGCTATGGCAACACATAGACTGAAAATATGGCAAATTTTACACATAAACTGAATCCAGTGGTAACTCAAAAAGTACTGGAAATATTTTTATGAAACTTGACATATGGGTAGATGGCAATCTTGAGATTATGCAGGTCTTATCAGTTCCCCCTATTTTGAAAAAATATTGGTTGCCTTGGCAACAAATAGGCTTAAAACATGGCAAATATAACAATATTTGTGACTAGTCAAAAAGAGCTGAAACTTTTAATGAAATTGCATCTTTAATTCCAGAGTTATCTCTTCTTTAAGAATTTTGCTTTTTAAAATGTTATATTTTGGTAACAGGGATGTTTCAAATATTAACTTAGAGTGTCCTTCAGTTCGTCTGTCTGTCTGTTCATAAAAACTTTTTCCTGTGATCACTTTTAAAGAACAGTTCCAACAAATTTACTTAAAATAGAGAAAAATTTACACATGAATGGCCAATGGCCCTTCAGAATGCTGATGGGGTTCTATCCGGTAGGGGACTTATGGATTGCTTGCAATACTATGATAATTGCTTGTTGATCTTTGTTCTTTATAAAGATCTTTGGATTTATGTATTCCAAGAAAGTTAATATTTTTTGGTCATTTAGTATAGTGGATATTTTATCAGCCAATCAAACAGTCTAAAAACTTTCGTAGCCATGGTTACACTTAAGATTTCGATAAATAAAATGTTTGCAGTGCCAGACAACAATATAAATCAGTCCGGTTAGCTCAAAAGGTAGAGTGTTAGACTATGAATCGGGCATCCCGAGTTCAATTCCCAGATAGTGCAAGTCACTTCGTTGTGATAGATCATGAAACCTTTCTATGAACATTCACACTGTACCTCTGTTCTTGCATGTACAGAAGTTTCAATTCCTAGTGAAAGTGAAGGCAACTAGTATTGGTAAATTGTTTGAAAGCCTGTCCAGGAAAGATGCAGTGGCTGAACTGTGGCTCTGGTAAATTCAATGGCTGACTGTCGTGATCAGGAGTGAAAATGTCTACGCCAACCAACCAGTCAGTTATATTTGCCCATTGGTAATGATGAAAGTACATGAAAGTTTTGTTTTCACTGGTATAATAGCATTGTCAGCCTACCCAGTATTCACCGGATTTGGTTTGGAAAATTTGTATATTTCACCACAGTGGATCAGATAGAAGAACTTTCCTATTTAGTTCTCATAAGAAGGGAGCTAAAGCTCCATTATTATTATGTTTTCACCATGGTAAAGATAAAAGTATTAAAATACATGTTGTGGGACCAATATGTACACCATGGTAAGGGGTTCAGTTAATTTAATCCATGGCATGGGACCAATATTTACTCCATGGTATTATTAATTGGGCCAATGTGTTAATCAATGATAAGGTCAACGTTCCGCATTGTATTAACAGACAATGGTATGGGACTAGTATTTTGTCCATAGTTTTGTCCATATTTTTCACCAAGGTAAGGGGCCAATATTTTGCTTGAGATAAAGGAGAGATAGTGCCTCAAAATTTTGCCATTGAATTGGTTTGGTACATATTAGCCAATATTTTCCTCTGGGGATAAGAGGAAACCCAAATTTGACCATTGGGTTGGAGAGGTGAAGCCCAATAGTTATATTTTAAAGGATGGAATAAAAAGAAGCCCACATGTTTGTTGACAGAGGGGGGTTATAGTGTGGGGCTGGGTGGAAAAAAGTATAAGTTTATGTCTGTGGAAGGAATGGTTAAATGTCCAGAATTTGGCTCTAAGGGTAGAAGGTTGGAGGCGAGAACTGCGTCTTAAGCTTTAGAATGTGAACAGAATATAAATTTGCAGTAAATAGTCAACCAAATATTATTCTATGAAATGGACACCATAACTTTTACCTCAAGAGTTCTGCTTCAGGGATTAAAGGCTGAAGTTATAGAAGTGTAACAGGACCATATAAGTGTAAGAGGCCCATAATTACGTGTAATATGCCCATGAAGTTATGTAAGTGTAAGAGGTTCATATAAGATTGTAAGAGGCCCATACCAGGTTAATCGACCCTGAGATAGGCTAGTTAGTGCACTGGTATTTATAATGGTAAATAATATTACTTAATATACCCAAGAGGGTATGAAAGGGAGACTTACAATTCTTTAAAAAAGGACCACAAGACAAATGTCTCCGAAATAAGAATTCATCTTTTGAAAAAATTTCGATATTATTTCGATCTTGCATTGTGTAAGATATGATGTTATACGATTATATGCATGCCTGAAAGTTTTCTTTAAAAGGCATGATGATATTAAACAAGAAGGAACTTTGGTGGTAGTAGGGCAAGATATACATACTCGAAGCAAAAATTACCGATCTACAAAAAAAAAAATTAATGGCAACTGATTTAAAAATAGAATATTAAGGGCGCAAGTATTTACATATATGTACTGTTGTAAATACGAGCAAAAGGTTTCATGTATGATGAGTTGCGTTTGGCATTATAAACGTTTTTGTTTTTTTCGTGAAGTGTAACCAAAATGGCTCAAAACTTATTTGTCTTCTGACATTTAACTCTTAAATGATTGGAATTAAAGTTGGTGTCTAGTCCATTAAGAAATATATAGTCAAACTTATGTGATATTGGATGCTAGAAGTTTTAGATTAGATCATTTTTAATAAACAAAAATCCTAGTTTATATAAAGGACAAGTTTGGAAAACATTTGGAGTATGATAAGGGTCAATAGGTAATATCGCCAGATATTTGCAAGATTATTAAAATTGATAGGAACGCTCTGGTGTAACGGTTTCAAATATAGTATTAATTAGAATGAACTTATGAGGCCAAAACAAAAATTTCTGTTTCGGTCATCCTACCTACTTACCCCCCTTTGAAGAAAAACATCTATGAAATTTGCCGTAAATTGAAAAGAATTTTGCTTTACATTTTACTGTATATTTATTTTTATTTCGAAAATAATTTATTTTCCAAAATAATAATTATCATTGGTCTTGACAGGTCTTTTAAGGGTAAAAAAAAAAATGTGAAAATTGTGAAAACTGTATCTTGCCATGAAACAATTAACTCATGATATAACTGTGTGTATTATATTGCATTTTGTTATTGTAATGCTGTAGATAGTTATGCTTGTATATATGTACATGTACGATTTATTTATACTTTTTTTACATGATAAAGATTTTTAACAAAAAATGTAAATCAAAATAAACTTTTAAACAATTTTATTTTAGTTTGATTCATTATTTTTGGTGACCTGTAAAATTTACATTTTATAGAAGTCTTCTCTCAAAGAGGTTAACCATTATTCTTGTCAGAATATTTTAACAGAAGCCACCACCTAGCTTGGACCATGCTCAACTTTTTCTTATTTCTGAAGTCAAACCTTTTCAGAGAAAAAAAAATAATATAGAAGGCTTCTCCTACATAACATAATTTTTCATTAGAAATGAAACTCAAATTTCATATTTAACTTTGATTATCACCCAATAGAGCCTGATGATCACTCAGTCAGTAGCAAGGGGCGTCTGTGGCCGAGTGGTTAAGGTTGTTGACTTCAAAACCAATTGCCCCTCACCGCTGTGGGTTCGATTCCCGACAGGGACTTTGGATTCTTTCATG